TAGGGTACGGAGTTACTTTCTGGTGTCATTATTATATGAAGAGAAAAAAAGATTTTTTTAAAAAATCAAAAAAGTGACTCAAAAAGAAATCAAGGCTTTTCAATGTTTTTTATCACTATCATTGTAAGAAAAATTATTATATGATAATAAATATCGGTTTGCTGCACTTTTCAGAAAATTTGCCAAAAGTGAATTGTCAACTTTTTGGCAGCCAAATAATTAGAAAATGGGTTTTGATATACTTAAGTCAATCAGGCCTGTTCTTGAACTTATGCCAAATGTACCACGTCCAAATAAGAAGGTACCAATCCGCAAGCGTCTCTTCTATACATTCGCTTCTTTGGCCTTATATTTAATTTGCACACTTGTTCCACTTTATGGCGTTCAAAAGACAGCTGGTGATGATCCAATGCAACACCTTCGCATTCTTACAGCTTCTTCTAAGTATTCTCTTATGGAATTCGGTATTTCCCCAATCGTTACTTCAGGTATGATCCTTCAGTTCCTCTGCTCTTTCGGACTTATCAACAGAAACCCATCAGATCCAGAGGCTTCTGCCTTGTTCGATGCTGCTCAGAAATTAGCCGGTATCATCATGACAGCTTTCCAAGCTGGTAACGCTATCTGGTCCGGTGAATACGGTATCCGTGGCGAAATCGGCTTCGTCAACGCTGCTCTTATCATGACACAACTTGTTTCATCTGCTATTGTTGTCATTCTTCTCGATGAGCTTTGCCAGAACGGCTATGGTATCGGCTCCGGCATTTCCCTCTTCATTTGCACAAACATCTGCGAAATGATCATGTGGAGACTCTTCTCATTCAACCATTACTCCATGGGCCGCGGAACAGAGTACGAAGGCCTTGTCATTGCTTTCTTCCACTACCTCTTCACACGCAAGAACAAGCTACGCGCACTCCGTGACATCGTTTTCCGCCCACAATTACCAAATCTTTGCCAATTATTCTCAACAGTCATTGTTTTCGGTGCCTGCATCTACTTCGACCAGATCAAGATCAACGTTGGCCTCGAAACAACAGTCAACCGTGCCCGTCCAGAGCCATTCGAGATCAAGTTGTTCTATTGCTCCAACACACCACTTATCATCCAGTCTACAATCCTTTCCCAGCTCGCTGGCTTCTCCCGCACCATCTACTTCCATTGGCCAGAGTCTCTTGCCACACAAATCTTCGGTGTCTGGCGTTCACACAACGGAATGTCCTATGACTACTCCACACCAGTTTCCGGCCTTATCTACTACTTGACAGCACCACAGTCAATCCAGCAAACAATCCACGACCCACTTCATACAATTATTTACCTCATTTTCTCTCTTTCATCCGCCGGCTTCATCTCATACTACTACCTTAGATTCTCCAACCAGGCACCAGCTGATGTCGCTGAAGCCCTCAAGAAGCAGCACCTTACACTCAAGGGACACAGAGAAGACCAGAAGAGACTCGAGAAGACACTTTCTCGCTACATCCCAACAGCTGCAGCTCTCGGTGGTATCCTTGTCGCTCTCCTCTCATTCGTCGCTGACTTCTTGTCCGCATTCGGATCAGGAACAGGTATCATCCTCGCTGTTTCCATCATCAACCAGTTCACTGCTGAACTCTCCAAGGAAATGGCTGGTGACGGACTCATCGGTATCCTCAAGAACGCCGCTGGTGCTCGCTAATTTGATTATTTGATTATTTATTTTTCTTTTCTTTTTTTTTAAACACACAACACATAATATACATAGAAAATTTTTATGAAGAAGCTGATACAATACAACACTACATTTCCAGAATGCAATACATAAATTAAGTTTGATTTTTAGATTGTAACAACTATATATAGGGTGTCCAAAGGTGCGTTTAGCACAGCGCTCTATATGAGACTATTAAAGGAGATATATGCTGATTATAAATATATAATAAAAAATATGAATATATGTATATGATGAGTATGTTGTATTTTGGCGCCATGCCGGGATATAAAATGAATTTTGAGACAAGAGGCGGTTTCGCGGGAAATTTTGGCGGGATTTTTTTCATTTTTTTAATGAATCATAAAGAAAACATCCTCGCTCTTGCAAAAAAATGCAAAGACTGTAAAAAAATCTACGAGACATTGGTAAAATGCTTCGGTATGGATGCTCCTAGCTATTCCACTGTAACGTATCATGTTAGGATGTATCACTTCATGAACAAAAAGGCGCCCATCATAAAAATTGACAAAAAATCGCCGGATCAAAGAAAAATCAAAGCAATTCTTCAAGCGCTAGATGAAGACCCAAGAGCATCACTCAGAAGGATAGAGGAGATGACAAAGATACCACGTACAACAGTCAGTTATTATATGCACAATTATTTGAACTACAAACTAGCGTATACACGTTGGGTTCCGCACAACCTTAATTCAGTTCAAAAAAAATCTAGAGTCCAATCTTCGAAAGAGCTCCTCTCTATATTGGGTGCGTATCAATCCAAGAAGTTTCGCTTTTTAGTAACAGGGGACGAGTCTTGGTTTCAATATGCAACAGAAGCCAAAATCATGTGGATCCCGAAGGATGAAAATCCGCAAACATTCCCGAAGGAAAAAATTGACACACCAATGATGATGTTGTCGGTTTTTTGGGGCGTGAATGGCATCATCGCAATTGATATTCTTCAAAAACCTAATACGATGAATGCTCAGTATCTAATTGACAATGTTCTTACTCAAATTATCAATTCTGATGAGTTTGAGAAATCCAAACAACAAAAACAAAAGTTTGCAATTCATTTTGATAATTCAAGAGTTCACAAAAGTCATAAGGTAATGAATTACTTGGTGGAAAACAATGTCAAAGTTGTTCCAAACCCAATTTATTCACCTGATATTGCACCCTCTGACTTTTATTTATTCGGCACGCTAAAAAAGAGAGCTGAAGGACGCGAATTCGCGAGTCCAGATGATCTTGAAAATTTTGTAAGAGAGCAATTTGAGCAATTTTCTCATGATGATTTAAAGCGTGTCTTTCAAGCCTGGATCGATCGCTGCGAACGCGTGATTGAATCCAATGGTGATTATATTTAAATAAACTTTATATATATGTAACTTGTTTATTTCTATTCGCAGTATTCAGGTTTGTGCTAAACACACCTTTGGACACCCTATATTATTATGATGTTTAATTATTTGATTTCTATTAAAACATTCAGGCTTTTAGATTGTTTGTTCATGAAGTAATTATAACATAAGTGTGTTGATGCTAAACAAGAAAATGGTTAGATTTTTATTAATTCTCCTTTGAAATCAAAAATATTAATATTGAAATAGTAACAATCATCCAGATCATTGACAGAATTCTTTGTTTGAGTGATTTTGAAAGCAACAAAATAATCTTTAGTTTGAAGTGGAAATTCTTTGATTTCGCGAATTTGAAATTCATATGACTGATTTTCTAATAAAATACATGTTCCATCTTCTTTGATACCTTCTAGATTCCAACTTCTTAATAAATTATGACTACTGTCACATCTCGATCGTATAATATATGATTTTGGTTTTAATTTATATCCTTTAAGATCGGCTTTCACCCATGAATTAGGTTCATTATTTGTAGCGAAAGTAGTTATATCTGAATATGAATTTATTAAGGATAAATTTCCATCACAAATAGAAGAAGCTGTCATTTCCATGTGAATTTCTTGAGAAACTTTTTCTACAAATTTAGATTCACCAATGCTAAATGATTCAATTGATATTTTAAATTGATTTTGAGCTTTTTGTTTTTCGAAAGATGCAATAGTTTGATTTGAGATTTCAAAGCGATTTCTTATTTTCGAATGATAATTCTTCAATGTTTCATTATAAATAGTTAAAAGACTAGATTCAAATGAGTTTTCAACTGAAAAATGATAAAGGGAGTCATAAACTTCTGATGAACAAAATTGTAAATTGACATATCGAAATAATTCAAATAATGAATTGTTCTTTCTGCACGTATCTAAAAGTATCAAACATAGTTTGTCTTCATTTTCGATTTTGAGTTCTTTAGATATCAAAATTTTTTCACAAAATTCAAAACCATTTTTACAAAAATTAGAAATGATACAATCATCATTCAAACTGTACAAATGTGAAGAAATGTACTCGATGCATTCATTCATCATAGAAAAATCATTTTCTAATGCAGAGATTTCGTACTTCTGAAAAACGTTTTCGTTTGTAAGAGATCTATCTGATTTAACATGATCTGAATATATCTGTATGAGTATTTGATTTCCAAAATATTTGCCAATTTCGAATATGTCATGATAATGTGGTTCGTCTGCTTCAAACTCGAGTTTGCCTGTTTCTATGAAGTTTAAAACGATATCGATTGAATCTTTACATATAATATCTAAATGTGTATTCAATGATGTGATTGATTTATCAATAAAATACTTTTCTTTGATTAAATCTGAAAAACAAATCGCTGAAGACTTCTTCGTTTGGATGATTCGATCATTAATATTGATACGAAGTGTACCACATTCAGTAATAACATGTGCACGCTTTAATTCATTACACAATTTTGATATTTGAACCATTTTGAAAAAAAAAGCTGGATTTTTTTTTTTTGTACGAAATCTTTGAATATACAACTTATATCCCGTGTTCTTCCTTACTTCTGAAAAACGTTTTCGTTTGTAAGAGATTTTTAATTTAAATTGATTCTAGCCATATTAATTACTGACCAAAGAATCGAAATAATCTCATGTAAAGTAAAGCATATTTAAAAGATGGGTGATTAGAACATGTGCATCATAAGCGAATGGGCAATGATGAATAGAATTTCTGAATGAATCTTTATCAAAGTAAAAGTGAAATTAAAGGAACTTAAAATAGAGCATATGAAACTATTTCATTCACAGTAGTATTAAGAATCTTCAAAAGCTATTCTATTACTATAAAAATCAAGAAAATACAATTTTATCAAAGAAAATACACAAACATATCTAATATATAATATAATGTGTCTGAAATCAAAACTTTTCTTCGCAAGTAAGCATGAAACCCAGTTGAGGGAAGTACTTGACAATCAGATTGGCCACGTTCTGCATCAAAAGGTAGCCAGAGTTCATAAGGAAGGAAGGATTGAGAACTTTGAAGATCTGGTCCAAGAGCTGACTCATTGAGAGGTTTTCCTGGTCAATGTTTGGAAAATTGAAGAAAACTCCGGCTAATAACAGAGTTTGTGAGTAAATGTAAACATTTCCAGAGACAATTGCGTGGAATATGAGGTCTGTGAGGCTGTTCAATGGCAGGAATGATGAATAAAGTTGTCCAGCGATGAGTTTTACTGATGCAAAAGAAGATATTCCTTTTGATTGGAGCATTTTGAACAAATGAGGGTGGATAAGGAAGCAGAGGTCACCAATGTAATCAAGATCTCGTGTTTTCTTGTTGTCCGAGTCAAGTAAAACGTTTTTAATATCACATTTTTCTAAAAGATAAATAAGCGACCAGAAAGTAACTGCTTCCATTGTTTCGGAGTCGTATTCGACATTTTCCTTCACTTCGTACAGTTTTCCGTCTTTTACGGACTTAATAAAAATATAATAAACAATTCTGACTAATGTGATGACCTGTTCGATGTGGTTGCCAAGGAAATCGTAAAGGATCAAAAGAGACATCAATGTGTTGAAAGTAATCGTCAAAATACTTTCATCAGCAACAACAGTAAGAAGATTCTTTCTGTTGACATGTACAATGTTCGTAATCTTTGCGATATCGTTTTGGCGCTTCGAAGAACGTCTCAATTGCGATTCTGTCATTGTTTGCCAAATATTTCTGCAAGTTCTGTAGGATTCGAGGACTAAAGGTATTGGAGATTCGATTGGTCCCATTCCTGATAGCAAGCACCATGCATCTGCTTTGAATTCCATTGGAAGAAGTTGATGTTGTAAAGTTTCGACTAAAAGATCTCTGCTTTTCATGCATTCGTCGAATTCTTCCTTTTTAAGGATCGTTGGCTTCTGAAATTGGGTAATCATTGGGATAATAACGTTTTGTATTCCACATATGTCTAAAATATCTTCTTCTTGCAAAAATCGCTTTTTCATTGAAGCCATTTGAGTAAAGAACTTTGGGTTGCTGGATAAAGGTGGCACGAAACGAATTACAGAATAAAATCCTGGTAATCCTGGGGAAGTAATAGTAATTGCTGAGGAAATGTAGGTAAAGAACTCTTTGTATTTATCTGTATCAGTGAAATTCAAGGATAAACCTGGATTTTGGGATGGATCATGGAAGCAAACTCTTGGAGGATTGTCAATAAGAGTTACTTCACTGTAATAATTAAGGTCAAATAAGTAATGACCATTATTTTCTAAAAATGGAGACCTGCAAGGATGAAGTAAATTGTTATCGCCCAAAAATGGATTTGGAGTGGTAGCTTTTTTAGATTTGAAATACAAACCGACGCTAAGGTCATATCTTAGCAATTTTACAGTGCCATCTTCGCTAAATTTCTCAGGCATATAGCCCTGGATATCAGGAAATTCTCGCTCAAACATTGTCACTTTTATTGACATTTTGACAAAGACTAAAACTCATTTTATTTTTTTCAGATTTCATGTGCAAAATTACATAATTTTAACTTTATTGTAAGGCAAGTAACCTCATGGATATCTACGCATGTAAAGATCTAAGCTCTGCATGTTTTTTTAATCCCGGTCGGTAAATTTTCACAAAATTGAATGCTATTCAATTTTGGCTAAGTCCGAAATAAAGAGTAGTTATATATGACACTTAATAATTAAAATTGAGAGATTTTTGATCTGATGCCAGTAAAAGGTACATTCACTATTTTTGACAAAATTTTAAATTTTCATGGGGTTGTAAATCTTATAATAACTAGATGAATAAGGAATAAATCCCAGTATGATGTGCATCATTATATTAAACACTATATGTAAGCCTTGTAATTCTATTAACACTTATGAAGATCTATAGTATTTGAGCAGATAAATTTGATAATTTCCAAAACTCTTATATTTCAAAATTAAAGTGTGCGAATGCATTTAAATGAGAGCAAAAAGAGATTGATGCTGCTAAAACTAGGTGTTAATTTGCAATTATTTCGCATCACAAGAACTACCCAGTAAATTCGGCTATCTTTCTTTGCAATTATTTTCTATTTTACATATATTATAATGGTTAGGGTTTGAAGAAAAGTTACTAGAGAATTATTGATTTTTGAAATAATGCAGAATTTTACTTGAAGAAATCATTAATTTATGAGCTCCAAATTGCTAACCATGATGAAGAATCATTAAATTTGCTACAATTAAATACATTTATTGCCGAATTAAGATTATTGAAATTAAAAGTTTGAAATATTGCCTTTTTGAATAAAAATTTAAATTTGATTATATAATCATGATAATATATTATTGAAATTAAAAGAAAATATTTTAAACCATTCAAATATTTTGAATGTCTTATCAATTTAAAATAGTAAAAGATAGCTTGATTTTATCATCATTAGTTGTTATCAAAGTTTTCTTCTTTTGATGAACAACAGTAAATGATTTGTTAATACATTGTCTTCCTTTTTCGCAGCAAAATCAAAAGTTATGATGATAATCTTGTACTCAATTTTGAAACTCTCTGATTTACAAGTAAGCATTCCTTTGGAAAAGCAGTCCTATTCTGTTTTCAAGATATTTTAAAGCCCCTATTTCATACAATGTGCAGATCTATTCGAAATTGCAAGAACTCTCAAGAAAAATGCAGCAGCAAAGAAGATTCCATAGTTTCTAGCATCAAAAATTTACAACCTTAATACAACAGTTAAAGAGAAGCTCGATAAGAAAATATTTAACCATAAAGCTGGAAACTATTCGATATCTACTATTGGATATAATAAAAAGTTAATTGTAACATATTTTACATGCTATTTGCTGACTCTGTTCCATTATATTACCATATATATCTTTTTGAAATCTAAAAAAATTTTACGATTTTAACCATGTGTTGTTGAAATCATATATCAATCTTAGCTAAAGTATAGTTTATGAGTCTGTCACCAACTAATGTATGAATTTTCAAAAATGTCAAATATGTTCATTTTTTCTGTATATTCAGCCATAATTTCATGTATTTATACTATTCAACTATTATTTAATATTTTTATCGATTTAAATATATGATGAGATGCTTAGTTCTCCCGGAAAACGATTTTTAATCACAATTTTAACTTTCCAAAAAAAATTCGAAAATAAAAATTCCTCTCAATTTTCTAAATTTTCTAACTAGCCAAATCTCTAGCCAATTTTTTTTGGCCCGTATAAATATTGTTAGGCACTATATAGGGATGCTATTTATCCTATTTTCATCCCATTTTACTGTTATCGCCTAGTGAATGTACCTTTTGCCAGTATCACCAATTCAAATTTCTAAAATAATTTCAAAGGACTCTGAAATATGCCGGTAGGAAGAAGTTTTAATGAATTAGATTAACCAATATATAAGGAAGCTATATTTTAAACGTTTTAGAATGATTGTTCAAAATATTTCAATTTTTGTGATGATCTTAGTTAAAGACTTGCTGTATGGATTTGTGGCAATGTTTGGGTCATTACTCTCAGGTGTATCAATGGGGTTTTCATCTCCTGTACTAAGGGAACTCGAAAAAAAGTGGGAAATCTCAGATTCAGAAAAATATTGGTTTAATTCCATCACAACACTAATCGGCATATTTGTGCCATTTCTATATTCATTCATATTATCAAAGGTTGGTAGGAAAATTGTTTATTTCTCGATTTGCTTCTTCTCATTTTTAACATATTCATGTTTCTTAGCAGTTACAGAAAAACGATTTTGGTTAGCGATATTACTACGTGCTTGTGTTGGCATCCAGCTTGGTGGATACAGTACACTATGTCCGGTACTACTAATTGAATTTGCCTCTCCAAAATCTACCGGATTTTTTGGTAATTTACATCAAATAGGTATTGTTGTTGGTATAGCGTTAATGTACTTACTATGCATGCTGTTCGATTGGAAAGTTTTATGCTATGTTTCCCTTGGAGTTTCGTTAATTGGTTGCATCATCATATTTTTTGTTCCTGAGACAAATCATTACAGCAAAGATGGAGCTGAGAAGCTTTTAATAGAAAGGAACGTCCACAAAATAGTTGTCAGTGTTGGAATCATGATACTACAACAATTTTCAGGCATTGGATGCATTCTCAACAACTTAGATGAAGATTTAAGATCTGCAGGTGTTTCTTTTCGTCCCGAAATTGCAAGTGTTGTTACAATGGGTTTACAGCTCGTTGGAGTTATTCTTTGTGGATTTTTCATAGATAGATTAGGGAGAAGGGTACTTTTCTGTGGTTCATCAATAGGATGTGGTGTCATCTTAATTGTTTACTCAACAATTTTACAATATTCGAACGTTGGATGGTTACCATTCTTTTTTGTTGCCACTTATTTATTCTTTTTCGGACTTGCACTAGGACCATTACCATGGTTCATTGCACCAGAAATGTTCCAAAATAAATGGTCAATATCAGCTGCAGCCTGTGTAACATCATCTAATCAAATTGGTTCTTTAATTGTCGGTTATATATTCCCAAAGACAAAAGAACTAGTTGGATTAAGAACAGGATGCATAATGTTTGGAACACTATGCATAGTAACAGCACTCTATGGAATGAAATCTTTGGATGACGATATTTTTGTCATTAAAACCGGAAAAATCGTCTGGTTTAGTGATAGTGAAGATGATTATATCAATAGTAACACCAATATCTAAAATTATAGCAATGTTTGCGACTAACATTATAGATATGAAATAAAAGTTAGTATTTCTTAAGGTTAGAACATACAAAGAGCATATGCATGAGTATGAAGATGCTTGAACCAAGATTATTTTTGATGGATTTTGTATTCGCATATTTCACTAAAATAGTTATAATAACAACTACTTAATTTTATGAAATCATAGATATTTGAACAAATGTATGCTAATTGAAAAAGATATAATGATCAATTCGAATCATTTTCGACTAAAATTGTTGAATTCTGGATGAAAATGATGTTTTTATGATTGCAGACTAAAAGTTTCTAATTTATATAGTATTGTAGAATATAAAAATTCTAATTTAAACCATTAAACAAACATTTATTCAAATAATTTTTCAAAAGTACATTTTCTAATTAAATTAATCGATTTTTGAGCGTATAATCTCTGGTTTGCATCCATTATCGAAGCCATATTCTATGAAATCGTTATTAGAAACTGATTTAAAGAATTTAACATGAGGAACAGACACTATTTGGTAATGATCTGAAATTTCCAAATTTTTATCAATATCTATTCTAATTACCTCGACATCAGGATGTTCTTTTGCAATTTCGGATAGATGTGGGAGTAATTTTTTAGAAGGCAACACCCAAGTAGCAAAGAAGTCAACTACAAATAATTTACGGGATTCCTGAATAAGTTCTTTTAATTCATCGAATGTTCCAATGAATGTTTTGACCTGTTGCTCTTCCTTCATCTTTGATAAATGTTCGGAATTTGAATGCATTCAATTTGTTTATTCAAATTAAGCCTCTATAAAGGAAATTATTTAGATAAAAATGCATTCATTGGTTCTATCACACATCAAAGAAGCCGGTACAATTTCAAAAATTGAATTCCCGAAAATCGTTATATTGTATTATCCTTACAATATATTTTACCCATTTGTTGCTACATTTTTAACTGTTTTGCTATTTACGTTAAACATTTGGCAATTGCATAAAAGATGTTAAACAAAATTGAATATAAGTCAATATTTTGAGAGCAAAAAAGAGTTTTCAAAAAATAACTATCCGTTTTTCAAACAGCATTAGCTGCATGATATTAGAAAATTAAATGAACATGATGAATTAATCAATGTATTACATTTTTGAGAACATCTTACAATTCATTTATGTTTTTTGTAAATAATTTATCATAAATTCCTCATTTGAGCTGGTCTATATACGTCTTACATTCAACGATTTAATTTTTTTTAAATTCTGGCCAATAGCCGTTTTTGAATTCATTGATGTTTATGCTTTGCCCTATCATAATAAATTTCACATTAAGTTGGAGAAATCAGATTTATACCTGTAGATCACATGTTGAGGTTAAACTAACCCCGATTTCTAGGCAACAAAAAGCTTTGATATTTATTTCAAAAAAATTGAATTTATTTTTGAGAAAATTAATATTGCTATTCTTAAAAATATGCAATATGATCTGATCCTTCAATGAGAACGAAGATTTTTCTGTTTTGATTGAATCAAATTTTAACTGAATTAAGATATATTGGCTAAATTCCATTATGTTACTTCTTATATAGTATATATTTAAAATATTTCCCACATTGGCTATTTTCACTATTGATTGTTAATTTTGTCTTTGATTCTCTTTAATACTCTTTAATCGCCTGTAATGCAAGCATTAAAAAACTTACACTATGTTATATGCGTGCCAAATATTAGATAAAATCCAGATAATCCTTGCATTTTGAATAGCTTCACCAACATTTTATATAAACAATCGTATATAACATTTAAAATGTATGCGCATAGTAAATTTTCCCTCATACATGATAGTTGATTTATATGTTATTAATGGTTCTGTAAGATACTATTTCATAAAGTTTATTGAGGAGAATTGAGCTGCAAGAGAGCACATTGATCTCCTATTGCTAGCGCATTATCATTCCAATGTGGTATCATTTGTAAATAGGAACCAGAATAAAAATGATAGACACCCAAATATATTTTTTAATGTCAAAAAAAGTCTATTGTTACTTTTGTAATTCATCATTTGATGACGAGAACCAGTTAATTTCTCATCAAAAGTCTAAGCATTTTCGGTGTCCCATCTGTTCTCAAGTTAAGCAAAATTTAAAATCATTAAATAACCATATGCTTACGCTTCACCGAACATATTTAGAAGCAGTTCCAGGAGCAATAGAAGGAAGAAAAGATCCCAATGTTAATATTTTTGGATTGAGTGGAATTCCAGAAGATGTTTATGTTACATGGTTAGCATCAATAGATCCCACATTCAAAGCCAATATTAAGGATATGAATGTAGATGGTGCTTATATTGCTAATCAAGCGGTTAAATTAGCTGCATTAAATACTGCAGAGACCTCAAAGAGCATATTCAGGAATCAACTACTTCAATTTACTAATGCACGTCTTCAGACGGCTCCAGTCGTTGAACACGTTCTTACAGCTAAAGGTGTAATTTCGTCAGAACAATTACATTCGCAATCAAAGAATACCAGCTTCAAAGCTTCTTTAGAAAATGCTCAGAAGAGATTTGAAACATCAAAAAGGCGAGCAGCTCAAATTTTGTGGGATGCAGAAAGAGCAGCAGAGAAATCAAGAAAAAAGCTTACAAAAGAAAGAAGAGCCAAAGAAGAATTATATTTCCAACCTCCAAGTGACGGTTTAACTGTTTTTGAACTTCGAGCTCAATTCCTTGCAAATAATCAAAAGGAATAGAAATCATTATTATCAGCTTGCTTATTTCTATATAATAAATTGTTTGTATTATAGATTTTCTTTTAAAAAAGTTCAAATAATTTTTATTTTTAAGATAAGAAAGAAATATTTTACAAAATCATATAATTTCATTGGTACTCGTGTCTGGCACTTGCCTTGTGATTCTATTTTTGAAGTTCTAAACTAAAAAATCTATATTTTTTGGATTCATCAAAATATATCATTTCTGGATAAAATCAGAACTTGAGTCTAATCTGAAAATGTGTTTTATCATTGGGACATTATCCATTTTCGATTTTGATGAATATAATATTAAAAAAATTAAGAATCTTCGAATTGTGCAAGGAAATCTGGTTCTTCTGCCTGTTTTTGAGGTGTTTGCACTTTGACATCAGAGAGATTTTGAAGAAAAGTTTGCCAATTTGGAACAACTTTTTCTTCCACCTTCTTTGGAGAATTTACTTTCTCAATTATGTCTTCGTGTTCTATTTTCTCTATTTCTTCGTTTGAATCAGAACCTGGTAAAATTATTCCTTTTTGATTCTGAATTAAATCAATAGGAAGTTGTCTTCTCAAAGCAATAGAAGATATTATTGTAAAAATATCTGGCTCTGTCGATAAAATAACCCCTGAACCGAAATTTAGAGCGGCTTTTCTGATGATATATGAATAACTATTAAATTGCTTGTCTGTTGATGATGGATCTGCTATTGCTGCAATAATAAATGGTAAAAAAGTTGATGTACTGATATTGATATTTTTCTGTTGAGAATTTTCGGTCGCAATTATAGTAGAATAGTACTGTTCGAGTTTCTTTTGCATATCTGAGTTATTATATTCTGATAAGCATTCGTTTAGTACAGGATTGATGAATTCTTGTTTCATTTTATTAATTGATGATGGACTATTAGGTCTGCATACAAAAATTATGCAAGATTTTTCTGGGGTTTTCTTTAATAGCGATTTCAATAAAGATAAATTTGAAATAACATTATTAAACTCGAAAATATGAACCGATACTACACTTTGGAATGTCATAACTGTATATGAATAACCATATGTTGGAGGTGAAACTTTAATATCATTCTCTTTTGAAAGTGACCGAATAAAAGTGGATTTTCCTGTTCCTCTTTCACCAAGAACAAAAAGATAGCACTCATCTTTGTCTGTTGTTGATGCTCCGGCCATATCAAGTATTCTTGTTAATGGATCGTCCATATCAAATTAAATCCACAAAAAAGTGAAAAATTTTAGAGGATCGTTGTTAATTGATGAGATAGATCTTGTATTGGAGCATTACAAATTATTGTCATTTTTTATAAAATAAAAAAAAATTTTTATAAAAATTCATGAACGTTCAAACCAGTGCATATTTATATCTTTCAAAAATCCTAGAAACACAGCCAGGCGTCAAAGCTCTTCTCCTTGATCAAGAGACCTTTAATTTCATCAGTGTAGCTATGACAAAAACAGAATTACTTGAAAAAGAAGTTGTTCTTTTCGAAAATCTTACTTCCAGAGTTCACAAACCAGAAGACCCAAGTTGTACATCCTTAAACTGCATTATCTTCGTTCGTCCAACATCTGACAATGTCGAATTAATTTCTCGTGAATTAGATCATCCTCATTTCCAAAGATACAGCATTTTCTTCTCAAACACATCAGCAGAAGCTCATATTCGTCAACTTGCAGCTCATGATTCTCAATCTCTTGTGGATATCGTTAGAGAAGTTTATCTCGACTTCTATCCTCTTAACGCTAAGTTATTCTCGTTGAATGTACCTGATATTTCCATCCTTCGCGCTGGTAATTCTTTCAATGAAATTGCAGGCCGTATTCCTGAAGGTCTTTTCGCATTCTTATGCTCTCAGCGCGTTAAGCCACATATAAGATTCGATTCGAGCTCAAGCGCGTGTCAATCAGTCGCAAGATCGGTCACTTCACTTATTGATGATTCTCGTGATCTCTTTGCCACTGCACAAGAAAGCGCCACTGTTCTTATATTAGATCGTCGCTCTGATCCTATTGCACCACTTCTCCATCTTTGGTATTATTCCGCTGCATTACACGATTTATTTGGCATTGACAAGAACGTTGTTACAGTTGATGGCCAGCAATACGTCTTAAATGAACGTACTGATCCTGAAAGTGCCCCGTATTATACAATGTATCTTGGAGATTTAGCACCAAAATTAGAAACAAGAGTCAAACGCATCCAAGATACTCTTAGAGAGATCCAACGTCAATCCGATGACCTCAACGACATGCACGGCAAGATGAGCGCTGTTTCTAAGGGCCAAACTGAAAAGGTTTACGCAGGAAACCATTTGGACCTATTTAATGCAGTTCATTCGAAGATTTCCCAAGGAAATTTAATGGAAGTATCAGGTTTAGAGCAGATTGTTGCTGTTTACGATTATCCTGACGATCAATGCCAACAAATCATCGAAATGATCAACAATCCATCAACGCAACCATTGGATGCATTAAGACTTGTATTAATTTTCGCTTTACATCATGAAAAGAAGTCGAATATCACTACTTACATGACCAAATTGTTGGAATCTCTTGAAGCCAAGACAGTTTGGCATAACAACGAAATGAAATACGTTGACATGATCACACAAATCATGGGCGATAGGCAGAGAGGCCACGAAGACTTATTCCAGAATAGAACTGGATTAACTAAGTTTACGCAAGGAATAAAATCATTCGTAACAGTCGAAAAAAGTCAATACGAGATGTACAAATGCTTACTATACAGAATACTTCAGAAACTGAAGGAAGGAAGATTATCTGATCAGCATTATCCGTTTGCTACTAAATCCCAGCCGACAAAGACTTCTAAAGTAATTGTTTTCTACATTGGAGGTGCAACTTACGAAGAAATGAGAGTTGCAACGGAATTATCTCAACCAGGCTTCGACATAATGGTTGGAGGAACAACAGTTCATTCAGCCGAATCATTCCTTAAGTATGAACTTGCTCCTTATTGCTGAATTTTTTAAACACATGGAAAATCTATTTTTTTTATTTGTAATTGCGAAAAAATAAAAACAGTGTTTACTATTATTTACATTTATTGTATTTATTTATCAGCCTTCTACAAAATACATGGAATCAGCTTGATTCATACTATGAATCTAAAAGATTTCTTTGTAGATTATAGACTGAATATTTTTTTTATGCATCTTCATGCACAATGAGTCCTCTGGATTATATAATACCTTTTACATTCATTTAAGGCTTATCTAACATGATAAAAAGTTTACAAAATTAAGGGTGCCCTATAGACGATAGACCACCCTCAGAAAAGCACTTTTAAGGCTATTATATTGAGAACTAGAATCTGGATAATCCATTCATTCGAGTTCTAATAAGGTTAATTTTGTGATGTTTACATTATCGTTATAGGGCACCCTTAAGATTGAACAAAGAAAGGTGTATGCTAAAAATCATTTAACAATAAATGGAAATAAAACGAAATTGTTAAAAGAAAAAAATGAAAATTGTTATATGGTTATATTACTATGATGATTTTTTGTCATACTCGCGAATATGACAAAAAATGACCATATCCAGATTCACATATTTTTCTTGATAATAAGATTGAATATTTACTCGCGAATATGACAAAAAATGACCATAAATTCTAGATATGTACTATATGGTTATATTACTATGATGATTTATATAAGGTATATATAAGGTGTATATAAATTAGAATGCTAATTGTTAATAATATTGTAGTGTGAAATAATTTATGAATGAAAAGTGTGAAAAAATGTCACCATAAATATGACTAATGTCAATTTATACTTAGTAATACATATATTATACACACTACTATAGTAGTATATATTACTATGTTTTGCCTATTCAGAGTTGTTATGGATTCATCTGCATCAATGAATTGGCATGCAAAAATTAACATATTCTCAATATAACTATACACATAACCCTAATATCAATATAAATTCTGCATATGATATAACACATTCAAGACATATTATCAATATATCATAATTTTTCTCTGGTCTGAGACCAATCTTTCTAATCTGTGATTAAGTAAAAAAAAAAAGATTCACGGTTATTCTAAAAAGACAAATTAATGAGATTGCATTACAATGCATCTATTAGGAAATTTTGGTGTTAATAAATTGAATAGTTCGAGTTTAGGATTTTGACTTCGCTAAAAAAAAATTGACTCAAAATACACAAAAAAATAATATTATGCATGAGGAGCTATTAAATAAAGTTGTGTATGAGAATATTGCACTTAGATTAATAGAAATAGAATTATAATTCAATAATAATGATGCCTGACGAAAATGATAATTTTGTCACTTTTTCCAGGCTAAATTGATAATAAAAAAATCGTTCAGATTTTTCTTTAACACATTATTTTCCACCAGCACACACAACCATATATCTTTTATTTATTTATATCAGCAATATATCTTACATATCTATATCTTCAACAATATTTTCTATGTTGTTGATTCCTATTCCAGAAGCATCAATTTAATTCTGATGACAAATCTATCTTTCAATTCTTAATTATTGACAAGAATTTTTGATTCGGATAAAGTAAACTTTATACGCAATTCCAAATTCAAACCGATTCCTGATTCATGATTAATTCCATTATTGTCACTTTTCGACCCTATATCGGCAATATGGATAAACTCAGTTATTCCAATTCCAAAAAAGTGTCATATTCTAAATTATAGTTTATTCGGATTAATACCTACTGTTAATAATTAAAAAGTTGATTTTCTAAAACCCCAATTTATAATTTTTGTCATGTAAGTGAAGCCTTAAAGGTACACTTACGCCCCTATGGCACGGCCATCAATTCAGATGTTTTATCAGCAGCCATAAGCTCTGTGATTTTTTTTACCTGACTCTATTCATAATAAAAAAAATTGAGCCAAGTTAATCTTTGCGTGAGCAGATAATCTTGTTTTCATGAATCAGAATATGTTTCGCTAATAGCTAATATGATACTGTCTAATTCATCAATATTTGATTTGAATTTTATTGGGTTTTCTGCAGTTTCTTCCAAATTGTAAATAGCATTACCTGTTGATTGAGATGAAAGTTCTGGTGTAATTTCTTCTCTACTATCATTTGCTGAATAAGATTTGATCTTGTAGATAAGTAAGCAAATAGCTACAATAAGTATTGCACAAATTGTTGTGATAATGCAAAGCGCAATTATCAAACTTCTATTCGTGTTTTGTGGACATTGAGGTTGATTTTCAATTCCATAATTAGTTATAGAATTGTTGTTTATGTTTAGCTCGCTTTTCATTGACGATGATACTTTTGCCTCTGAAGGCGAATTTACTACAGAAGAAGGAGGTGATTGTTTAGAAGAAGATGATGATGATTCAGTAGAAGTAGATGATGATTCGATAGAAGAAGATGATGATTCAGTAGAAGATGATGATGATTCAGTAGAAGAAGATGATGATTCTATAGGTGAGACTGGTTCTGGATCTTCTCCTCTGTTTATTACTATTCCTCCAATTGTGTTATATCGATATAATGGGCCGACATTAAGTTCTTGGATATTACTGGCCTTCGAAAGAGAGTTTCCAGCAATGAATTTTTGGCCATTATATGTGAATTTAATTATATTACATAACTTGAAAGCATCGTCATCAATAGATTCTACATCTTTTTCGATGTCAATTTCCATATCAACTCCTTTTGCAAATAAAGCTGGAATACTGTAATCATCAATATTATCCATCACAACTTTCTGAAGATTCGTGAAATGATTCAATGTTGGCAAATATTTAACATCTCTAAGTTTTTTGGCACTACTAGACTTAGTAAAATTGAAAACAACTGTAGTGATGTTTGTTGTGAAAGCTTCAAAATTAATGAGTGTAAATCCTGTGTTTTCATAAATTAAAACTGATACAGAATTAGTGCTCACGAAAGCACGAGGAGATATTTTATCAGTGCAATCTTCAGATGTTTGAATTGTTATGTTTTTGAGACCTGCACATTTATAAAAAGCAGAAGTATCAATAAAATCGAATTTTTCAGGAATAGTAATAGCGGATAGTTTTATACAAGTATCAATTGCATAATTTCCTAATGAATCATATCCATTTGGTGTTGAAAGTGTTTCAAGTGAATTCAAAGAAATAAAAGTTTGAATTAATATTTTTGGTGAGCCAAGAATAGTGATGCTTTTTAGTACACTACAAGAATAAAATGCAAATGTATCTATGACTTTAACGTTTCGAGGAATAATTATACTTTGAAGAGACTTGCAAGAACGAAATGCGCTTTCCCCTATTGCGTAAAGATCTTCTGGAAGGGTAATACTCATAAGACTAGTGCATTCTGAAAAGGCATAGCGATCAATAAATTTAATGGTTGAAGGAAGTATAACATTTGTGAGTGAAGAGCATTTAGAAAATAGATAATCAGGAATTTGATAAATGTTTGCATGAATTTCTACAATTTGAAGCTTTGAACATGATTCAAACGCATTATTGGCCAGTAATACAACACTACGAGGTATTGTTATTTTTACAAGATTTGTACATTTAAAGAATGCCTGATAATGAATGGAAAGGAATTGGTCATGTAAGATTACCTCAGTAATTGAATCACAATAACTTAAGTCTCCAGCATTAAGCGAAAAAATACCGGGTGGTAGTTCATAAGGTCCAGTTTAAGTGGGACAAATATTTCCATTGGCTAAGACCAGATAGAAAAACGAGAAAGGGACAGACTAGCCCATTGTCACTTTTTAATTTAGCAAATGAACGCTTATGGAGTGGAGTTTTTGGGTAAATCTGATTTGCTTATAAATGAAATAAAATCAAAAGAAACCATATTGGCATTATATTATGCAAAAATAAATGATCTTACTTAGTACTTTTAAAGTTAATTTCAGAAAAAATTTGACACAATGGTATCCGGCACATACAAGTGGTGTACAACCAAAATATAAGTTGGTTTAAACATATATTGCTATATCTCATGATCTTACTTAGTACTTTTAAAGTTAATTTCAGAAAAAATTTGACACAATGGTATCCGGCACATACAAGTGGTGTACAACCAAAATATAAGTTGGTTTAAACATATATTGCTATATCTCATGATCTTACTTAGTACTTTTAAAGTTAATTTCAGAAAAAATTTGACACAATGGTATCCGGCACATACAAGTGGTGTACAACCAAAATATAAGTTGGTTTAAACATATATTGCTATATCTCATGATCTTACTTAGTACTTTTAAAGTTAATTTCAGAAAAAATTTGACACAATGGTATCCGGCACATACAAGTGGTGTACAACCAAATCTTCGACTCGATGAACTTGTCATCGAGTTATATTCCAGTGTTGTTCCTTCATTCCTGATTAAGTTGCAAATTAAAGGTCTGGATTCAGAGAGAAGTGTTAAAGTTATCAAAAAAGTCACAAGAGATTTCGAAGAAATGACACAATTTAAAAAAGTCGCATGCATCAGTATGCTTGAAGCTGTTCAGAAAGGTCTGAAAAATGATACACTTGATCCCAACATTGTTTACTCAACATTATAAATATTATTGCAAAGAAAACATTTGATTTAATAAACATTTAATTTATTATAATTAATTTTTTATTACAGTATAGTAAAAAATGCTATAAATAAATTATTATATTTTATTAAAATGTGACTTTTAATAGTAAGTGAATAAAATAAATCAGGAATTGGGAAAGAAATAAGGTTAATTAAAAATAATGAAAATTACAAGTTTAAGGTTAATGAAAAAGTGACAATGGGCAAGTTTGTCCCCCACTCATAGAAAAACATTAAAAAATTTTGACTTATGGTTGTAAGGCTATTAAAAACTTTAATAAATAAAATATCCATTTAATTATAATAATAAGGATCAACATATTTTAAAAATTATTCGATGACGTTTTACTTGTAGTCAAAATCAAAAAGGAGTGTGCAAGTCTTCTAAACGACAGATTTCAAAATAAATAAGATAAACCGAATCAGCAGGATCCAAATATGAATGATATGATCTTAGTTTGAAAAGTTACTAAAAGAATAAAAAGATTTGTGAATTAAAACGTAATTACCATAATTTTTATCAATTAATCATCATGTTATGATTTACATATCAAATTTAATTTCAAATATGTGTAATTATCTCTAATCATAATTTGAATTTCAAATTTAAGAATAATTGGAGCTTTTGAACTCATAATATTTTCAGCTTACATAATTATGGGGTATTATGTAATATCCTGTTTCTCAGTTATATAATAGATTTGAATGCGTTCTTTTGAGGATTTGACTAAAAATAGTATAAAGAAAATGGATCACTACAGAATTATTTTATATTCAATAAACCATTTTGCGTAAATGGTGGTTCTTATCATCTATCAAATTTCATAAGAAGTCTCTTAAAAATCTTGAAGAACTTCAAGAAACGATCTTGTTCAAAATACATATCGAGATACTTTAATAAAATTAATCATAAATCAAAGCAAAACATCACATTTGTAAATAATTTCAACTAATATATAAAATTCAAGATTAGAATGTCTACTGAATGCTAACAAAAACGAACAAAATCTCATCTCTAGACTAGAATATTAATATGAAGCAGTTTTTTGTTTAGATATAAAAATGAATAAAAACTTTACTTTTACACTTTTCATTCAAGTATTTTACTAATACAGATCATACTTTATCAATGCTTCGTACTATTCTTTTTAGAAAAAAGGATAATAAGTATGATATTTGTGATTGAAAATAATTTTTTAAAATTCACCTTTAACTCATCACTTTGTGAGATATAAAAAGCATTCGCGTTACTCATTCTTCTTAATTGATCAACTCAAAATTCCAAAAAAAATTAAAAAATTAAAAAATGAAAATCAAAAATTTGATTTTTCTCTTCAAAAAATCAATTTTGAAAAAAATTTGGAAAATCAAAGTATTGTATAATTAATCAAATCATCAAATAAACTCATTTTTACTCATAAAAAACATCTAATTCTTGATTTTGATATCATATTTGATAAAAACTCATTCGATAGTTGATATAATGGCATAATTGTTGTTAAAAATATTATTTCCATAACAAAATTCTTATTTTAAGATAGTAAAATAATAAAGTTTTTATTTCAACAACAACAAGTAAATAGATGAATGGTAACGCACTATATTCGCATAAATGTAGTAACTATCTTCTATATTTGAGTTATGACTATTCCAATCAAAATGTATTAAATTGAAATCAGAAATATCAAACAATCATATTCGGTACTGTGCACTCATTATAGAGGTCATCGTAATTTATAAGTAATTTATATCTAAAAGCCGACTTTTTTTTTCTTATTGCAATAATTTTCTCAAATTTTAGTAACTTTTTCTATATTCAAGTTATTTGAATATGTATCATAAGCGACGTATGAACTCAAAATTACGAGGAATTCTGTCGTTGCATTTTCGAGATGCAAAATTTCGATTTTTAATATGGGGATTTGGCAGGTGTAATCTTGATGTTATCTCCATGTAGGAGTATTGATGCAATATGATTAAAATTAACGAAGTTGATTTTAAATTGCATAATGCTGGAGAATAACTGACAAAACAACTAAGTCTACTCTACAAGATAGTTGCTAATTGGAGTAATAAATTAGGCTCCACCAATAATTTCTTTCATCTCTGCCATAACGAGCAGAAAAGAAGCGATCAGCAACCCTAGGAAAAAAGAAGAAGGGTGTCACTTTTCGTGGGATTACCTTTAGTCTTCTCAGGGTATTATGTAATATACTACCTTCACAAAGTTTAAGCTGTAACTTTATTTGAGAAACTTTGTCTATTCAGTTTCATCATATTTTTTTCATCACAATCGGATTGAATAGTTTACAATTAGTAATTTTTTTTTCTGTTTGATGAAGGGTTCTGTCCTTCAGCGTCTATTAACGAAACAGAAACAAGAGAAGTTTGGTAGTGCCGTAAACAATGATAAATGGGATGAGCTTGTCCCTAATATTATATCTGGAGTTTCTAAATTTGAAGATGTGATTGTTCCCATACAAGAACGTGGAAAAGTTATGAACCTTTTCCAGTATGTGACTATTTTAGAGCCGAGCCAACCACACTTAGGACTGATTACCCGCATTCTTAGCATAATTCCGAACGAAAATATGCAAGAAGCGGCAGGTCATTTGCGCGAGATGGCTCTTACATATGGCTCTTCTGCCTCCCCAATCATTGATTTGATTGTGAGAAATTTCCTAAACCAGAGCGAATTATTTCTTGCTGATATCATAAATTCTCTCATGGATGCGTCACAGAACTTTGTTCCGTTAATTGCAGCATCCATTACTAAATATTTTCCCCAAACTACTTTCGAAGGGGATCAACAAATCAATTTTTTGAGATCTACTCTTCACGTTTGCTCTTATTCCTATGATGTTACTCTGAAGGTTCTCGGTCGTGTTGTCCAGCACATCGTTGGCCTTGACTGCGAACTGATGATCAGAACTTACAAAGGAACAGATGCAATCGTAATTGACGAGGACGTGGCAGCATTGCTGACTCCTCAGATATTATTTCTTCTCGACTTTATAGAAAACGCATCGCAAAACATTTTTACCCTTTTACTGCAGCTATTTGACGTATATATACTGGATTTGCCTTATTCATCGGTTGTTCAGTTTATATACTTCATGGCTTCATCGTTCAGTTCAGAAAATTACCAGACTTTCGTTGGTTTCCTTTTGGCAAAGATATTTAACGAAAATGTTAATAAAAGAACAAGAGGTAACGCTGCTTTTTACGCATCGACACTCGTAGCAAGAGCAAAGTATATTGATGACCAATTTGCTACTTTTGTCTTAGATTACGTTTCAAATTTTGCCGAATGTTATTTAAACCACATTAAACAGAATTCACCTCAATTTCTTACGAGAAATATTCAAGTTCATGCTGTTTACTACTACGCATTGCAATGTTTCGCTTACATTTACTGTTGGAGACACGATGGATTCGAAAAAATGGAGATTGACGTAGAATCACGTTGGAAAGTGTCTCTTCTGTTTAACAATGAGCTGGAAGGCCTAAGTGCTATCGATCCGAACACTGCGGTTATGTTTTCTAATTTTGGATTAATTGATTACGAACCTGACCAATCAGTAATCGAAAGAATTCAAGTTTGGTTCCCTTACGATCCTTGTCCGCTGGAAGAAATCGCAGAAAGAGTCTCTTCTTATTATATGCAGTGGGGAGAGAACGCAGAGCCAGGAGATGTCGACGCTGCATTAGAAAACAGTCTGAGTAGGATTTGTGCAATGCGTGGAATCTCTCTTGGCGACATTCTTGGTCAATAATTTTAATTAATTTTTTTATGCGAGTTTATTTTTATTTGTTGTATTCGATATTTAACTATAAATTGTTTAGTCTTTCTACATCTTTTCTTTTTAGTTATTTTATAAAATTGATTAAATTCTTAACTTCATTAAAATTGTTATAGTTTATTCTTAACTTTTAGAAGAATCCAAATTGTCTGGATGCTGGACCGGTCATCCTGTTCGAACCATGGAATCCACAGAAAATGTTGTGTGCGAAGTCGTTGTGGAAGCAATCGTGGAAATCATCTCGGAAGTTATCACGCAAATCTTGTCTTGATCGCAATCCAAAACCAGATCCGAATCCACAACGGAAGCACCCTCTCATGAATCTTCTTGCATCACCCATCATAAACTCTCTTCTTGGATCGTTCATCATGCATCTTCTTGGGTCGTTCATCATGAACTCTCTTGTGTCGTTCATCATGAACTCTCTTGGATTGTTCACCATGCATCTTCTTGGGTCGTTCATCATGAACTCTCTTGGATCATCTGACATAGGTCTTCTCATTCCGCCTTGGAAACCACGGATGCAATCTCTGCGAGGATCTCTCTCAAAGTCTCCTCCAAAGTCTCCTCTGAAATCTCCTCTGAAATCGCGGCGAGGATCATCTCGCAAATCATCTCTCATATCTCCTCGCATGCCACATCTGCCATCGCCTCCCATTGATTCCCTTGGATCGTACCTCATTCGATCTCCCATGAAGCAGCGGAATTCACCACAAAAATCTCCTCTGAAGCCGCTTGGGAACTCACGTTGGATACCTTCGTTGAAATCGCCGCGCATTCCATCACGTTGGAACTGCGAAGGACCAGAGAACGGGCAGCCATTTGAAAATCTGCCTGGAAATCCGAACTGAGGTTGAGCGTCATCTCTACTACGATCGCTTCTCGGCTGGCCTTCGCCTGATGCAGATTGCTTATGCTCGCTTTGCTGTTGCTCAGATTGCTCTCGTTCTTGCTGAGCATTTTGTTGTTTCTCATTTGCATGGATGTTTTCGTCATTGTTGCTGTTATTGCATGCAGCTGTGTTCTCCTGCATTTATTGTGTGTTTGCATCTTGTGCTGACATCTTTTCGAAAAATGAAATGACTTTGATTCTACACTTTTCTAATTTTTTTTTCAAAACAAAATTTCTTCTCAAAAATACAAAAAATACAAAAAAATCAAAAATTGAGAGGATCTTTTCCCAATCAAATTATCGGAGAGGAGTGAAACGAAGTAGAACAAATATCTTATTTTATTATAAGGTATATGTACATAGTTTCTTATTTCCAAAAATGCTTGCCATTATTCAACGTAAGCGTAAATTTTTTTCAATATCGTTTACAGATGTCAAAATATTTTGAATACTTTCTTTCCCAAAAAGTTTATTTACGAAAAAATGTCAACACGAGTTCATGATGATATACACATATGACATTTAGAATAAACATCACTATATTGTTAACATTTCCTATCAGCATGATTCGTTCCATTAAACCCTAAAGGCATGTTTATAAGTTGAATATTAGAGAATAGTCCAATTTGCAAATGAGAAAACAGATTGTAATGAAGTATTTCGTTTATCCTTAGTAAGCAAACATTAAAAATTTGGAAATACACTAAATCACTAAAAAGACAATTAAAAATTTCAAATTTCAAGCTAAATCACTAAAATAATCCAAATAAACAACACATTTGGCATCTATGATATATAACAAAACTATTTTCCCACATATTTTGAGCAAAAAACGCAAAATTGAGAGTGGGGCATTTTTTAGTTTTGGAAAAAAATTATAAGTTGGAAAAATTAAAAAATTACAAGTTCAAAATTATGCGTGCAAGCGTGGACTATTGTCTTAAATTGAAGCAAATTCAAACAAAAATTCATCAAAATATCCAATTTGCTAGCGCATTCTTCCAAAATGGAGAAGATCAGCTAGTTAAAATTAATACACAGTATAATGAATTTAAAGATGACTTTGCTAAATACTTTTCTAGACTCAAAGATATAATTATCAAGCTTGCAGAAACCGGCGTTGCTTTTACACAAGTTAAAGACACTCAAAAATTTTATGAGTTTTTGGAATCAAAGAATGTCATCCCAGAACATGATACCAACGTCAACATATACGAAGTATACCTTGAACAATTCCCCAAATATTTCGATTACTTCTTATTTAAGCATGATAAAGTAATTGAGTTAACGCAAGGCGGAAGGACAATCCAAGAGACCCATGAGTCTTTTATGAGAGAGTTATACAATAAGGACACAGAGAAAATCAATTTCTTCAATTTGGCGAAAGTTGAATTTTTGACACCTCAATTTATCAGATTTTTAAACAAAAACCTCGATATTTCACATATATTCTTCAATTCTACCTTCAATCGCGACAATGCTATTGCCAAACAAGAGTTTCTTGACAATTTTATGAAGAATCTTGACAAATGTCCGGAATACATCCTTGATTTGATCAAAATCGACAAAAACGTGATTACAATGTCCCTTAAACCACTTATCAACCAGCATCCTCAATTGTTGAACCTTGTTCCTTATTATGTCGATCTGAAAAACAAAAACAACCAATTTGACATACAAATTCCAGACGAAATCATTGAAAAAATAAATTCTATCGTCACACAAAAAACCGCTTTTATTCCTGAAGAAATCAAATCCACATTAGAGAAATTAGCAGGTACAGATTCACGGGAAACAGAAGCACAACCTGCACATCAAAAGCTTAGAGAATTACTTAAGATTTTACCTCCTCTTCCTGTTATTCACAATCAAAACCAGAAATATTCAATTAAAGAATATTTGACATTTGCCATCAACATGATTCATTCGAACAAACGCGAGTATTATCTTAAGAAGCTGAATGAGATTTGTAAGGATCGCAACTACCAAGATTTCATTGATAAGACAAGAAATCCACAATATATTTTTAATGAAATAAAGAGGATTGATCCAAAAGATAAATTGCAAAATGCAGAACAAAGCATTAGATACAAGAGCCATTACCAGTTCCTTATTAAATATGAAGAAAATCTCAGCGAAATACAAAACCAAATCATTGGTTATACATTTGTTATTTTTGAATCTGATAAATCAAAACCAATAAATCTTATTCAGTTGACAAAATTGTATACAACAATTTACACGGAATACAAAATACACAAGGACTTCATTAATAAGAATTACAAAGAAGATCTTAAAAAGATTAAGTTGGATTACTTTAACATGGATTGCATGTTGGAGAAGTTTTTCACAAATGAAAGAGCAAAAAATTTGGAATACTTCGTAAATGGAGAAGAAAAAGCTTTGGACTTCCAAGCTGACTTGTTCAGAAAAGAGAAATGGATGGAGAAGAAACACAAATTCGTAAAAGACCTCTCTTATGACAAAGATCCACTCGAACTCTACAAAATTTTCAATAAATATCAGGATAAAATCATGAAAAAATTCGAATCAAATCTCACTGACCTTGGAAGTGACCAAGCAACGCCTTTCTTCTATGCGTACGTATATCACTGCATGCCAAGTAATTTGTTAAGTACTCTTAAGTATATTGCACTCTATAAAAAAATTTACCCGGCTACGCAGAACTTTTTCGAAATTATTTTAAGTACTATGAATTTGAGAATATTCGATGAATAAAAAATTTAATTAATTTTATTATTTCAATGATTTTTTTGCAGATACATCTCTATTTAGCTTGAAATTTGAAATTTTTAATTGCCTTTTTTAGTGATTTAGTGCATTTCCAATGCATATTATATTTCGTGTTATTGTTTGTTTACTAAGGATAAACGAAATACTTCATTACAATCTGTTTTCTCATTTGCAGATTGGATTATTCTCTAATATTCAACTTATAAATATGACTTTAGTGTTTAATGGAACGAATCATGTTGATGGAAAATGTTAAGAATTCTCTAATCGAATAGTTTTTATTTTGCTTGTGAACAATATGAAGAGGATATCAACATGAACATAATCAAAAGAACGAAAATTGAAAGTTACAGGAGTTTCAATAATAATAAAACGTTTCTTTAAATAAGATATAACACTAGAATTTATGGATAAACATTTCTCAAATATGATGGCATTATAATTATAATTTCAATGCATTGATTGGAAATTTGTATCATCTACTTTTATGTATGGAATCTATAAATTTTTTGGTATTTTTAAAAAAGTAATGATATTTGTATTATTAAGCTCCTTAATGAGCATGAGAGTTAGCTGGAGGTGACTGCATGACTTTAGAATTAATTGTATTAAGATGATCTTCAATTTCTTTAAATTTCGATGTTTTTTGAGTAAATTTCTCTGTTTTTGATTTTATATGATGTGATTGTCTTGGCTTGCGTGGTGTTTGCTACTTTTGATTTGAAGTTTTCGAAATAGGAGTTTTAAAAGAAGATTTATTTGTTGATTTTGTAAATGTTTTTGTAATACTCTTGTTATCATCTAAATTTTTATTTTATTTTATTTTTTTTTTATTTTATTCTTAACTTTTAGAAGAATCCAAATTGTCTGGATGCTGGACCGGTCATCCTGTTCGAACCATGGAATCCACAGAAAATGTTGTGTGCGAAGTCGTTGTGGAAGCAATCGTGGAAATCATCTCGGAAGTTATCACGCAAATCTTGTCTTGATCGCAATCCAAAACCAGATCCGAATCCACAACGGAAGCACCCTCTCATGAACTCTCTTGTGTCGTTCATCATGAACTCTCTTGGATTGTTCATCATGCATCTTCTTGGGTCGTTCATCATGAACTCTCTTGGATCATCTGACATAGGTCTTCTCATTCCGCCTTGGAAGCAACGGATGCAATCTCTGCGAGGATCTCTCTCAAAGTCTCCTCCAAAGTCTCCTCTGAAATCGCGGCGAGGATCATCTCGCAAATCATCTCTCATATCTCCTCGCATGCCACATCTGCCATCGCCTCCAATTGATTCCCTTGGATCGTACCTCATTCGATCTCCCATGAAGCAGCGGAATTCACCACAAAAATCGCCTCTGAAGCCGCTTGGGAACTCACGTTGGATACCTTCGTTGAAATCGCCGCGCATTCCATCACGTTGGAACTGCGAAGGACCAGAGAACGGGCAGCCATTTGGAAATCTGCCTGGAAATCCGAACTGAGGTTGAGCGTCATCTCTACTACGATCGCTTCTCGGCTGGCCTTCGCCTGATGCAGATTTCTTCTGCTCGCTTTGCTGTTGCTCAGATTGCTCTCGTTCTTGCTGAGCATTTTGTTGTTTCTCATTTGCATGGATGTTTTCGTCATTGTTGCTGTTATTGCATGCAGCTGTGTTCTCCTGCATTTGTTGTGTGTTTGCATCTTGTGCTGACATCTTTTCGAAAAATGAAATGACTTTGATTCTACACTTTTCTAATTTTTTTTTCAAAACAAAATTTCTTCTCAAAAATACAAAAAATACAAAAAAATCAAAAATTGAGAGGATCTTTTCCCAATCAAATTATCGGAGAGGAGTGAAACGAAGTAGAACAAATATCTTATTTTATTATAAGGTATATGTACATAGTTTCTTATTTCCAAAAATGCTTGCCATTATTCAACGTAAACGTAAATTTTTTTCAATATCGTTTACAGATGTCAAAATATTTTGAATACTTTCTTTCCCAAAAAGTTTATTTACGAAAAAATGTCAACACGAGTTCATGATGATATACACATATGACATTTAGAATAAACATCACTATATTTCTAATTTGAAGACGACTCTTAAAAACAAATTTCAAATTCAACTAAAAATTTATTGATTATTTTATTTAATGATTCTCCTTTTCTAATGTCTTATGTAAAAGTTTAATAAATATATTGTTTCATTCTGGGATTTTTAACAAAAAATTCATCAAATTTCAATTTATCACAATGTTTATTTTGTTTAATATGAAGTTTAGATTCAACACAGACGTTTTGCATATCGTATGATTATATATTCAATTCAATGTATAATTTGCAAATAAAAATATTTTTATATGTATAATAAATGAATAAATCATATCAAGATTGAGGTTACTTATAATGCAACTTTTAAGCATGAAACTAAAATAATAAAGAGTTTGAATAAAATGTTTAATTTTTTTAATTTGTTTTTATTTTGTTTTTAAGAGTCGTCTTCAAATTAGAAATATAGTGATGTTTATTCTAAATGTCATATGTGTATATCATCATGAACTCGTGTTGACATTTTTTCGTAAATAAACGTTTTGGGAAAGAAAGTATTCAAAATATTTTGACATCTGTAAACGATATTGAAAAAAATTTACGTTTACGTTGAATAATGGCAAGCATTTTTGGAAATAAGAAACTATGTACATATACCTTATAATAAAATAAGATATTTGTTCTACTTCGTTTCACTCCTCTCCGATAATTTGATTGGGAAAAGATCCTCTCAATTTTTGATTTTTTTGTATTTTTTGTATTTTTGAGAAGAAATTTTGTTTTGAAAAAAAAATTAGAAAAGTGTAGAATCAAAGTCATTTCATTTTTCGAAAAGATGTCAGCACAAGATGCAAACACACAACAAATGCAGGAGAACACAGCTGCATGCAATAACAGCAACAATGACGAAAACATCCATGCAAATGAGAAACAACAAAATGCTCAGCAAGAACGAGAGCAATCTGAGCAACAGCAAAGCGAGCAGAAGAAATCTGCATCAGGCGAAGGCCAGCCGAGAAGCGATCGTAGTAGAGATGACGCTCAACCTCAGTTCGGATTTCCAGGCAGATTTCCAAATGGCTGCCCGTTCTCTGGTCCTTCGCAGTTCCAACGTGATGGAATGCGCGGCGATTTCAACGAAGGTATCCAACGTGAGTTCCCAAGCGGCTTCAGAGGCGATTTTTGTGGTGAATTCCGCTGCTTCATGGGAGATCGAATGAGGTACGATCCAAGGGAATCAATTGGAGGCGATGGCAGATGTGGCATGCGAGGAGATATGAGAGATGATTTGCGAGATGATCCTCGCCGCGATTTCAGAGGAGATTTTGGAGGAGACTTTGGAGGAGACTTTGAGAGAGATCCTCGCAGAGATTGCATCCGTTGCTTCCAAGGCGGAATGAGAAGACCTATGTCAGATGATCCAAGAGAGTTCATGATGAACGACCCAAGAAGATGCATGATGAACAATCCAAGAGAGTTCATGATGAACGACACAAGAGAGTTCATGAGAGGGTGCTTCCGTTGTGGATTCGGATCTGGTTTTGGATTGCGATCAAGACAAGATTTGCGTGATAACTTCCGAGATGATTTCCACGATTGCTTCCACAACGACTTCGCACACAACATTTTCTGTGGATTCCATGGTTCGAACAGGATGACCGGTCCAGCATCCAGACAATTTGGATTCTTCTAAAAGTTAAGAATAAACTAAAAAAATTCTTGATGAAAAATAATTTATTGAATTGTATAATATCAAACAGAAGGTTATAATTTATACAACCTGGAGTGAATAAAATCACAAATCATAGAAAATTTTGCTTTTAACATTGTTTGAGGTATAATTTTATGAATTCTTGATTAAAAATCTTTAAATTCCAAATATACTAGGCGATAAGTATGGAATATTTTAACGTAATTACTGCTGCCTTCCTACAAACAATGATGCTTTTTTAAAAAAATTGAATTTTTAAAATCATCATTACCTTAATGAATGAAGGAATTATGATTGAGATGTAATTAAGTGAGTAAATTTGGAACAGTATTCTAGATAAATATTATAAATTTGTTGTAACCCGAACAAATATAATAAAAATTTGTAAAGAAACGGGTGGTTAACTTGAAAATTAGAAAATAGTAATCAAATTAAGAATAAGTTTGTTTATATGAGTATTACCCTTGTTGTTGTCAGATGGCAGGCAGGTCAAAAATCTGCCTGTCAGATTGAACAAACTTAATAATTTCTTATTAGAGTAAGATAAACTTAATTTTAAACTTTTTGATTTTGCTTCTGACTGACAGAAAAATAAATTGAGAGATTGTAGAAAATTTTAAATAAATCATATCATTTTTAACAATGCTCGGTCTGCTTACTTATCGCAGATATTGCTATAAACCCTTTCTGCAGCCATTGTTTGAATATAGAATAGGGCACAACTCAGCTGAAGAAGCCTACGATGATGACAACTGGAATTTTGTTAAAATCCCTTACATACCATGGGGCCAACTCCGCTTTGAATATCATAGCAACGAAGATGAGGAATCTTATGATGATGACAACTTCGGAATTCACTTCGGCTATCACGGACGCTTCGGCAAGTTTGACTTCAGATATCACAACGAAGATGAGGAATCTTACGATGATGACAACTTCGGAATTCACTTCGGCTATCACGGACGCTTCGGCAAGTTTGACTTCAGATATCACAACGAAGATGAGGAATCTTACGATGATGACAACTTCGGAATTCACTTCGGCTATCACGGACGCTTCGGCAAGTTTGACTTCAGATATCACAACGAAGATGAGGAATCTTACGATGATGACAACTTCGGAATTCACTTCGGCTATCACGGACGCTTCGGCAAGTTTGACTTCAGATATCACAACGAAGAAGAAGAAACATCTGATGATGATAACTGGCAATTTGGTATAACAGCTGACACACCATGGGGCAAATTCCGCATTGGATATCACAGTAATGAAGATAGTGATGTTGTTGTTCCAAAGTCTGATAAAGTCAAACAACAGAAGAAGAAATGTGATAGCAAAAGAAGTGCATAAGCTCGATTTTATATTCTTCATCAACTAAGTAAATATCTTCTATGAAGATGTTAATTAATAATTTTTTTTATAATATCAATAATCCAGATATGTTATAAACTATCAAAATGAATGTGAAAAGAATTAATGGTGCACTTACCACTTTCTGGCATTCTCGGGATTTTTTGACATTCTATGGCTTTTTACCAAATTTTCTAAGGTAAAAAGTTAATAATTTTATTCCTGGAAAAAACTATTTAAAATCACCACCGAGTACTTTATATTACTGTTATGCTTTTTTGCAATTACAATAAAGACATATTGATATTATACGTGCATGTCAGAAAGTGGTAAATGCACCAATAATTATTGTAAAAGAGAAAATAAAATTTATTTACAAACAATAAACAAAACAATTTTATTCATTCAGATAACATTGTTATAACTGTTCTTCCCATGTATTTCATTCCTGCAACAGATATTTGTGCTTCTAAAGCGTCTTCTTCCGTTTCAAACTCAACAACAGCAACTCCAAAATTTCTTATTGATCCAATATTTGGATCCTTTGATAAAGTACACTTTACAACCTTTCCATACTTTCCAAGTTCATTAGCAATGTCATATGATACCATAACATTTAAATTCCTGTTATCAATTACTTCAAAAGGAACACAATTCATTATATACAAGAATTTTCCGCATTTTTCGGAAGTTTCTGCACCACAAGTAATCCTCGTTTTTGGCTGCAATATCTGTTGAAGTGATAATCCTTCGCATGGAATATTAAACAAACCTGGATAATCAGGAATTTCTTGGTCATAAACAGATCTCATCGCAGAACATGATAAAACGTAATCTCCGAACTGTTTCCCGTTAATCCTAGATGAAGCAACTTCTGGGGACATCGGTGGCCTCACATCGACTAAAACACAGTCATTCATATTATCAACAGGGTAAATCGCATCAAAATCAAAGAAATGTTGAAGGAATTCAGGTAATTGATGTAATTGGGATGTATCAACGTTAACAATAATAACTCTCTGTGGATGTTCGGCGAATAAAAATGATGGATTTGCTCTTGGAATTTGATGGTAGTCTTCTGGCCTAGTAAAATGTAATTTTGTGCCATTAAAAACTAATTGCTGATCGAGTTTCATAACAGTTTCCGCATCTGTTTTGGATGGAAAAATAATTACGACGCGAACTTGATTTTGGTATGAGTAAAAGTCAGGAATAGTTCCTGGAGAAGAATAGGATCCTTGTTTCATAAGTTGTTTTACAATAAATTGTACTGTTTGTAGAGGATCAGCATCTTCTGGCCTATTTTCAACGAATATTGTATTTTCCATATATAATTTCTCTTCATTAGATTGAATGTATTGATTTTTTGTTCCACATATTTCAAAAAGACTCGAAATTTCTCTAATAGATTTGCTAGTTGGTGCAACGAGGCCAGGAGGAAGGCCAGGTGTATATCCCATAGCTTTGTATTCCTCTGGACTTACATTCCAACCGCCTTTCAACCTCGGAATTTTCCTAATGTTCAATTCTTTTTCTTGCATTAATAAAAAATGATCAATTTTAACTTGATATGATTTAAGATAAAGAATGATTGTAACTTAAAAGATACAGCAGATAAAAAAGTGATGATTCTAGAGTGTTGAGTTTCATTGGATATGTATCTATAGGGTTACTATTTGATATAGTTTAGTTGCAATCATGCATATGGTGGTTTATGACTTATTTGGGATTTGAAAGGAATATTAAAAAAATTAAATTAAATTTTCAGAATTAGATACTAATGTTTGAAATAGTCTATTATTTACAGAATTTAAGCGGATGTAAGTATGAAAAATGTGTTTGAATTACAAAATTAACAAAAGTTTTTTATTTCGGCTTCCAGTCGACATCTTCTAAGCCTTGGAATGTGTTCTTGAGGCCACGTGGATTAGCCCACTGTGAATCGAGGTAAGATGTATCATCGTCGTTTTCGATTCTCTTTAATTCCTCAGCTTTACGATGCATTTGAGACATGAGACGGATCTGGGCCTCCTTATCCATTGTCATATCGCGTGGTGGCGGGCCAGATTCTGGACCTGTAAACTTGGCAACGAATGTTTGGCGTTCATTCTTTCCTGTGTAGTCGAAAATGTGTTTTCCGCGTTGATATGACTTGCGTGTAACCCAAAACTGGACAAGCTTTGGATCAAGTTCGTATTTGACTGGTTCGCCATCCATAATCTTGCGAACTGGATCAGTCTTTGGTAATCCTTCTGGATAAACGATTGTAACTGCACCAGAAAGACGTGCAAGCTCTTCTGTGACGCCTTCGACAGTGAGAGCGACTTTCTTCTTGACTAATTCTGGATCAATTGCAGCTTCGGCATCAGCGATGGCGCGTTCAAGAATTTCCTTCTTCTCTGGTGGATTAGCACGCTCGTTGTTCTCTCCCATTGGGCCAAGCTTGATTAAATCCTTAAGCTTGGAAACAATTTCACGGATTTTGATGATTGCATTATGGATAGCTACACAATCTTCGATAACGCGGATGACCTCTTCCTCTGTTGTTGTTGTGTAGAGGAAATCGGTCTCCTTTGTCGTCGACAGATGAAAGTTAACCATTTTAAATTTTGGTGCACGTTAATAATTATCACCTGACCATTTTTGAAAAATATGCAATTTTAGAGCTAAAAACACAAAATTGATCACTAATCCATGTGGATCATTAGTTATACATCCAACACCGGATAATATATTTCCATTATAAGCTCCAATATTCAAATTCAATTTCAAAATTTAACGTCAACAAGATTTATTGCAATCTTAGATAGCACAGCTAATATCTCAACATGTATCTTGTTTATTGATACGATTTCCATTATATTGAATAAAATTTTCTTCGTTATATGACAATACGCAAATGAGTATCACGAAATAATAATGCCTTAAGAAATATATGTTTAATAATAAGCTCGAATCTAGTGCAAGTTAAATAAAAATTAACGATTTGAGATTGTGAGGGAATTTATGAGTCTATTCCTGAATTCTATGTCCTCTTCTAGTTGAGAGAGACGGTCTCTTGCAAGTTGTCTCCATTTATTTAATCTGCGGGATAATTTTTGGATTTCTTGTGATTTGTTTGAGTTTCTTTTGCAGTTATTAATTTGATTATTGTTCACTTCTTCGTCCTCATCTTTTAGCATATCTAAGCCTTTCTCGAAGCTGATATCAACTTGGTCGCAATCAGCAAGCGGATCTGTTTGATCTTCTTCGGTTTCTTCTTCCTCTTTGCCTTCATCTTGAATTACAATGTTGACGGCTCCTTTTCTTTCAAGTAATAAAAATTTAATTGATCTTAAAAGTCTCGAAACTAAGCAATAGCATATATCATGCTGGTCTTCTGGAGATAATCTGTTGAACTTTTTCTCAATATCTTCTAACCAAGCTTCGTCAATTTCATCATCATTTACGAATAATTTATTTGCAAGCCTTTGTGATGTTTCTGCTGATGTGAATTCTTCATCAGAGTCTGAACTAGAGTCTCTAATGCAGCGCAATGTGAGCATGTCCATTGATCAAAAATAAAATATGCTAACGTTTGATTTATTCCCTCTGTTTAGTCTCTGTATATCTAATCAAAATTGTCACTTTTCATTCAAATTTGATGCATTTTCATCATTTTAACAGGGAAATCACAGACACTCCGGCAAATTAACCTAATATTTTGTTGAATATATTATTACTTAAGCTAATGTTAATCGATTCAGTCCTGTTTTTAACTAAATTTTGAAAATTTTCTCTAATTAATGATAATATTTCTGTGCAAATACATCAAAATGACAATATATGTATTGCTATCACCAATTTTATGTTAAATTTGTTTAATTATTAATTTATTAGTGGGGATAGAATTCATCAAAGAAATCATAAGTGATTTTGAAGGAAAATAATACTTTATTGCATACCACCATCCTATCATTATCATTGTGAATCTCAAATACTTATAACTTTGACCCAAAAGATTCTTATTGAACATATCAACACTATTGATAGTAATTTTATAATTTCAAAAGTATATGAAATTTGCCCACAGCAGAGTTATGAGTTAATTCGAATAGATAAAAAATAAAATTCTCAAAACTCCAATTTTGAAACAATATATTATGATTTTTGTGCATTACATTAGTAGTCAATATGATATTTATTCATCAAACTTGATAATTTTGCTCATAAATTAATAACGTGCATATTTTGTAAACTAAGACTCGTTTGAAGCAAAATGACGAAGCAAAAGGGAGAGAAAAGCTCCTCCCCGCCATTTATCACTGACCCAGATGTGCTTGTCTTTCGTGATTTCACAGTTGGGGAAATGGTAGAGCTCCCATTTACAATGACAAACGTTTCATTCGGCAGAAATTCGTTTCATTACAAAGGAATCGATCAAGAATATGCATCACTTTTTAATTTGATATTTACTCCTGCAGGACTTGTATCTCCTGGTGTAGGAGTTCCATTAAAATTACAATTCACACCAAAATATAATTCACCAATCTCTTGCTGCTTACATTTCGTAGCAAATGGTGTACCTTTCGATGTCAAAGTCGAAGGCATTCCTAAAACCATTAATATCCAATTTGAACCTTTCGATGTTTTCGATCTCGGCACAGTTACATTCGGCGAAGAAATAGAAGGTACATTAAGAATCCGAAATACAGGTGCATTGAAGGCAACGTGGTCTGTTGCTTTAGAAAAAACTACAACGGATCAAAAATTTTTAAGTTTAGAAGAAGGAGAGAAATCTCTCAACTTCTCAGTTAAGCACGGCTCGATTTCAGGCTATTCTACGTCGACTGTCCACATTTCTTTCAAGCCAGAACGTCCCGCTCCGTTGAATTTCCTTCTTCGATTCAAATTCTCATCGCCTGAAGATGCATTCAAAACATTTTCAAAGGACCTACCGTTAACAGCGGTTGGAGCTGATGTTCCTGTGTTTTTAGACAGTGATTCGATTGATTTTGGGGTTTGCTTCTACAATGAACTCTACAGAGGCTCTCTTGTAGCAAGGAATAGAAGTACCTTGTCTCAGAGATTCACAATCGAATCACCAGCAAATGCAGATAAATTTATCGAATTTCAACCAAAGATGGGATTCATCCAACCTCAGCAAATGTTTAACATTTCGATAAAGCTTCGAACTACGCAAGCAATTAAACAGCTTATGCAAGGAGATTCCCCTACAATTACAATTCCATTCAAAACGATCGTCGTAAATCAAGTTTTACCAGTTAATTTCTCAATATCTATGCTTCCATCACCTACAAAGCTTGTTTTCGACCCTCCAACCCTCGATTTTGGCACATTTGGAACAACAGAAGTTCGAAATTTGGATTTAAAGATCACAAGTACACTCCAAGTCCCCGTAGACTTTGGATTTGTCAGATTACCTAACGGAGTTACCATACAACCATGGGATGGCTTTGGTTTGTTGATGCCAAATGAAACCGTCGAACTCCAAGTCGGTTTCCAGTCACCTCTCGCTAAGAAACATGAGTTCGAAATTACTGTTTGCACGTTACAAGGCAGTAAATTTACGATTCCTTGCACGGCAAACGTAATTACGAACGCGATTACACTTAGCGCCACACAGATTGACTTCGAAGCCACACCTTTAGGCGAAGAGACCAAATTCCCTATCCAAGTCACCAATATTCGAACTTCTCCAGTTGATATCGAATTTGAAACTCCAGAAGATTTCTTCTTTGACCCCGTAGTAGCGACCATTCCAGCTGCCTCCACGCAGAATGCCCTTATTACATTCCGTCCTACTCCTCCGATCCAAAAAGACGGAGTTACTACTACAATGAACTCAGAAAAATCAGCCAGCATCAAAGAAAAGGCCAAAGACAAAGGCAAGCACAAAGAGAAAGGCAAGGAGAAAGACGCGGACAAAGGAAAGAAGAAGGAAACAGCAGAACAACCACCAGAAGTCAAACCGCCAGCCGCTTTAATCGCTCCTGACTTCACTTTCAAAATTTATGACAACAACATTGCCTGTTTCTGGCGCTGCGGCAATAGCAGTGGTCGCCATCACATGGCAATACGTGCTGCATCAACTTTGCCACAGATATTTGTTTCCTCAGTGAAAATTGGGAATAAACCACCACACACTGAGAAACTGATTGATTTAGGACTGAAATCGATCAATTTCGGAACAGTTGCATTGGGACAACACTTGGATGCAGAGATTGTACTGACAAACGCCAGTAAAAAGCCTGCTCCTGTGAAATACGAGTGTGATGTCGGTTCATTTGAAGTTCTAAGCCCTCCATGCGATATTCCACCACGAGGAACAACAGTTCTCCATGTTAGATTCACTCCTGCTATGCAATACAAGTTCGAAAGCCTCTTAAGAGTTACACATTTAGCCAGACCAAATTCAAGGGTCACACTTAAATTGGCCGGCCAAGGTGCTGCCCCCTCGATTGATTTAAGTGCAGAGCGAATTGATTTTGGCCATGTAATGGTTGGCCAAACAGTCACTCGCTCTATAAATGTTAAGAACAATGCTGCTTTCGAACTGAAATACGTGTACAGATTGAATCCAGATAACAACGCTCATCATATCAACATGGATTTAACAGATGCTTTCTCTGTAAAGAAGCCTTTCGAATGGCTCGAAGCTGATAAGACTGGACAAACAGTTGTTGCTTTTTCTCCTGATCACGATGCACCAGAATTCGCATCAACATTGATTGTTTCTGCAGGAGAAGACGGACAAAGAAGAGAAATCCCAATAACAGCAACATCATGGCCACACGTAATGTTTGTTATAGGAGGAAGTGGCGGACAGAGACAGAGAACTGCCTTTGATCACGCTGCCCTCGATGAACCTTTCTTCAGACAGAACGTCGTTGTTGACATGTCGTGGCCAGGAGCTGCTGCACAATCATCACTTCAGATCGGTGTTTCGCAACTGAATGATGACGCGAAGAAGACAAATGGAGAATTTTCATTTGATCCGATTTCTGTGCCTGGATTCACTGTCACTCCAATGAAGTCTTCCGTTGAAGCTGGTGGTGTTGTTAAAGTTACTATTGAATACGCTCCTCCAGCAAACTCTTTGTTACAAGTTGGACAATGGGTTGTAGGAGAAACAGGTTTGCAACTTAAATGTGGTGATTTTAATAGAAAGATTCCAGTTAAGTTTAAGTGTTTGATGAATGTCCAACAAGCAGCCGACTTGTCACAGCCAACAAAGAGAGATCCTGTTATGAAGAGTGCAAAGAAGAAATCTAGGAAATAAAGATATTTTTTGTGTTTTAATTCAATATGTGATTCTTATTTTTTGATTAATTTTTTTCAAACTGTATCGATCACATTGTCTGCACTGTTGCCCTCAATGTGACACAGATCGATCTGCTCTGATCCTCTCAATTGTGATTTGTGCATGTTCATATATATTTCATTCATAAAAAATTTAGCTAGAAATGATATCATTTTTGAATGTGCGCCTATTCTCATATAGCAATCCCTTCATTATTGTTGTTTAAAGATAATTTTCAATGAGTTATCATCGCAATTGTATGAACTTGAATGATACAAAAGTATGATGAATCATAAATGCATTAGTTATTTGTAATGTTGCTGATTTTGTAAGATGAATGTCATCAATATGAACGAGAATTGTATAAATTATTGTTGATCTATGTATATTTTTAATTTTTTAACTTTTAGTAGAATCCAAATTGTCTGGATGCTGGGCCACTCATCCTGTTCGAACCATGGAAGCCACAGAAAAAGTTGTGTGCGAAGTCGTTGTGGAAGCAATCGTGGAAATCATCTCGGAAGTTATCACGCAAATCTTGTCTTGATCGCAATCCAAAACCAGATCCGAATCCACAACGGAAGCATCCTCTCATGAATCCTCTTGCATCACCCATCACAAACTCTCTTCTTGGATCGTTCATCATGCATCTTCTTGGATCGTTCATCATGAACTCTCTTGGATCACCTGACATGGGCCTTCTCATTCCGCCTTGGAAGCAACGGATGCAATCTCTGCGAGGATCTCTCTCAAAGTCTCCTCCAAAATCTCCTCTGAAATCGCGGCGAGGATCATCTCTCAAACCGTCTCTCATATCTCCTCGCGTGCCACATCTGCCATCGCCTCCCATTGATTCTCTTGGATCGTCCCTCATTCGATCTCCCACGAAGCAGCGGAATTCACCACAAAAATCGCCTCTGAAGCCGCTTGGGAACTCACGTTGGATACCTTCGTTGAAATCGCCGCGCATTCCATCACGTTGGAACTGCGAAGGACCAGAGAACGGGCAGCCATTTGGAAATCTGCCTGGAAATCCGAACTGAGGTTGAGCGTCATCTCTACTACGATCGCTTCTCGGCTGACCTTCGCCTGATGTAGATTTCTTCTGCTCGCTTTGCTGTTGCTGAGATTGCTCTCGTTCTTGCTGAGCATTTTGTTGTTTCTCATCTGCATGGATGTTTTCGTCATTGTTACTGCTATTGCATGCAGCTGTGTTCTCCTGCATTTGTTGTGTGTTTGCATCTTGTGCTGACATCTTTTCGAAAAATGAAATGACTTTGATTCTACACTTTTCTAATTTTTTTTTCAAAACAAAATTTCTTCTCAAAAATACAAAAAATACAAAAAAATCAAAAATTGAGAGGATCTTTTCCCAATCAAATTATCGGAGAGGAGTGAAACGAAGTAGAACAAATATCTTATTTTATTATAAGGTATATGTACATAGTTTCTTATTTCCAAAAATGCTTGCCATTATTCAACGTAAGCGTAAATTTTTTTCAATATCGTTTACAGATGTCAAAATATTTTGAATACTTTCTTTCCCAAAAAGTTTATTTACGAAAAAATGTCAACACGAGTTCATGATGATATACACATATGACATTTAGAATAAACATCGCTATATTTCTGATTTGAAGACGACTCTTAAAAACAAAATAAATACAAATTAAAAAAAATTAAACATTTTATTCAAACTCTTTATTATTTTAGTTTCATGCTTAAAAGTTGCATTATAAGTAACCTCAATCTTGATATGATTTATTCATTTATTATACATATAAAAATATTTTTATTTGCAAATTATACATTGAATTGAATATATAATCATACGATATGCAAAACGTCTGTGTTGAATCGAAACTTCATATTAAACAAAATAAACATTGTGATAAATTGAAATTTGATGAATCTTTTGTTAAAAATCCCAGAATGAAACAATACATTTATTTAACTTTTACATAAGACATTAGAAAAGGGGAATCGTTAAATAAAATATTCAATAAATTTTTAGGTAAATTTGAAATTTTGTATTTATTTTGTTTTTAAGAGTCGTCTTCAAATCAGAAATATAGCGATGTTTATTCTAAATGTCATATGTGTATATCATCATGAACTCGTGTTGACATTTTTTCGTAAATAAACTTTTTGGGAAAGAAAGTATTCAAAATATTTTGACATCTGTAAACGATATTGAAAAAAATTTACGCTTACGTTGAATAATGGCAAGCATTTTTGGAAATAAGAAACTATGTACATATACCTTATAATAAAATAAGATATTTGTTCTACTTCGTTTCACTCCTCTCCGATAATTTGATTGGGAAAAGATCCTCTCAATTTTTGATTTTTTTGTATTTTTTGTATTTTTGAGAAGAAATTTTGTTTTGAAAAAAAAATTAGAAAAGTGTAGAATCAAAGTCATTTCATTTTTCGAAAAGATGTCAGCACAAGATGCAAACACACAACAAATGCAGGAGAACACAGCTGCATGCAATAGCAGTAACAATGACGAAAACATCCATGCAGATGAGAAACAACAAAATGCTCAGCAAGAACGAGAGCAATCTGAGCAACAGCAAAGCGAGCAGAAGAAATCTACATCAGGCGAAGGTCAGCCGAGAAGCGATCGTAGTAGAGATGACGCTCAACCTCAGTTCGGATTTCCAGGCAGATTTCCAAATGGCTGCCCGTTCTCTGGTCCTTCGCAGTTCCAACGTGATGGAATGCGCGGCGATTTCAACGAAGGTATCCAACGTGAGTTCCCAAGCGGCTTCAGAGGCGATTTTTGTGGTGAATTCCGCTGCTTCGTGGGAGATCGAATGAGGGACGATCCAAGAGAATCAATGGGAGGCGATGGCAGATGTGGCACGCGAGGAGATATGAGAGACGGTTTGAGAGATGATCCTCGCCGCGATTTCAGAGGAGATTTTGGAGGAGACTTTGAGAGAGATCCTCGCAGAGATTGCATCCGTTGCTTCCAAGGCGGAATGAGAAGGCCCATGTCAGGTGATCCAAGAGAGTTCATGATGAACGATCCAAGAAGATGCATGATGAACGATCCAAGAAGAGAGTTTGTGATGGGTGATGCAAGAGGATTCATGAGAGGATGCTTCCGTTGTGGATTCGGATCTGGTTTTGGATTGCGATCAAGACAAGATTTGCGTGATAACTTCCGAGATGATTTCCACGATTGCTTCCACAACGACTTCGCACACAACTTTTTCTGTGGCTTCCATGGTTCGAACAGGATGAGTGGCCCAGCATCCAGACAATTCGGATTCTTCTAAAAGTTAAGAATAAACTAAAAAAATAAAATAATAAAAAATCTAGATGAAAACAAGAGTACTACAAAAACATTTACAAAATCAACAAATAAATCTTCTTCTAAAATTCCTATTTCGAAAACGTCAAATCAAAAATAGCAAATATCACGCAAGCTAAGACAATCACATAATGTAACATAAAGAACATGGAAATTTAAAGAAATTGAAGATCAACTTAATACAATTAAAACTAAAGTCATGCAGTCACCTCCAGCTAACTCTTATTTTCATTATGGAACTTAATTATAAGAATAAATATGTTTTGTATATTATTAATCATAATTTAAAAAAAAATTAACAAAAGATTCATCAAATCTTGTTGTAAGTGATTTATTTTCCCCACGATCTTGTTACAGCGAGAATAAAAGTATTTCAATAAGTTTTCGATAGTGTGTATTCGAGATAAATTGAAATTGCATTTGCAGTTTTAAGAAGTAAATGAAAAAGAAACTAAAAATATCAGATATGTTCAAAAATGAAGAGATTATTGATGGAAAAATAAAAAGTTTTTATTAACAATTTATACTATAATTATATCAGTCCGAAGAGCTTCTTATGGGACTTGTCCCATTGTTGCATTGTAGATTCGATATCTGATTTAGAAAATCCGAGGATAGTTAATATTGGATTAATCATCTTCTTTTGTGTGTTTTCATCTTCCTGGCAGAAGTGTTTAAGTGCTTCTTTCAAGTAGTTAAATTTGAATTCTATGTCACTTTGTTTTTGTTCTTCTTGTTTCACTGGAGGATGAATTTCTTCTTTTTCTTCTTTCTGTGGTTGTGAGTTTTGTTTCTTCATTAACTCGTACTCTTCATGTAACTTTTGAGCTTGTGATGCATTCTTTTCTTCTTCAAGAGATTTAATGCGTTTCTTGAGGTCGTTGTTCTCTTTTGTGACTTTCTGGAGTTGAGAGGACATTTCTTCTCCTTCCTTCTTCATCTGTAGGATCTGCGCGGTCATAACATCAAGGTGTTTCTCGATTTCTGCGTGTTTTTCTGGACTAACACTTTCATTTGTTTCACTGTGGTCCTTCAATTTTCTATCGTCCGGTGAAGTTCCCTCTTGGCTTTGATTTTGGATTGGAGAATTTTGTGGAGTATTCGATGAAGCAGCCTTAAGTGATTCTATTTCTGCTTGAAGTTCCTCGATTTGTTTTGTTGAATTATCGAGTTCCATTTTCAAAGTTTTGTTTTCGCTTTGAAGTGACTCTGTCTGCTGTCTTGCTTCATTAGATTCTTCTATTACGTCATTCTGAAGATCTTCAAGTTGATTTTGAAGTTCTTCATTTTGTGATTTAAGTTTATTAACCTGTTTTTGGAGGTTCTTGGCTTGACTAGCTTCTGATTGAAGGTCACCAAGTTGGAATTCATACTCTATAAGCTTTTGTTCTGTCTCATCAAGTTTTTGTTGCAAATCTTCGTTTTCTTTCTTGATTTTATCTAAATCAGCTTGTGAATCTGCCTTATTGGATTCGTTTAATTTGGTTATACTGTCTTTCAATGATTTATTTTCGGATAATAATTTCTTATTTTCGTTTTTAAGGGATTCTATCTCTGATTTCAACTCCTCTGTTTCATCTTCGCCCCATCCTTCAGTTTCTTCTTTCTGGTTTGCTTTAAGTTCCTTGTTTTCTGATATTAATTTCTGATTTTCTTTTTTGAGTGATTCTATTTCTTTATAAAGCTCTTCTGTGTTATTATCATCGCCCCATCCATCATCTTCCTTTTGATTTTCTTTCAATTCCTGGTTTTCTGTTTGTAAATTTTGAATTTGTTTCTTTAAGTTGTCATTTTCTTTCTTTAATTGATCAATCTGGTTCTTAAGCTCTGTATTTTCATCTTCGTCATCTCCCCATCCATCATTTTCACCTGATTTTTGATTTTCTTCCAAAATTTTGATTTCATTTTTCAAATTTTCATTTTCTTTCTGAAGATTCTTGATGGCTTCGTCTTGTTTCTTGTTTAGGTTCTCTATTGTAGCCTGCATTTGCTTCACATTCGCTTCAAAACCCTTTAATCTCTCATTTTCTTTCGTAAGTGAAGTGATTTTTTCTTGGAGTTCAGAATTGTCAGGTTTTTCTGATTCAAGGTCACCCCAACCGTCATCTTCTTCTTTCTGGTTGGCCCTTAACTGTTCATTTTCTTTTTGTAAAGTTATTATTTGTTTTTCTGATGCAGCTAACTTGGTTTGTAGTTCTTCGAGTTGCTCATTGTTGTTCCAGCCATCATCGTCGTTGTCTTTTGACTCGAGTTCTTGCTGTAATTGTTGGATTTGTTTTTTAAGCTTTTGTATTTCAGTTGTGTTAACAGATTTGAGCTGTTTCTTGAGTTCTTCGATTTCTCGATCTTTTGCTTCTAATTCTTCGCTATTATCTTCGCCTTTTTGATCATTCCATAATTCGTCGTTTAATTGATCGTTTTCTTGGCGTAATTCTGCAATTAACTTCTTGAGTTTAGGGATTTCGTCGTTCTGTTGAGTCAGAGATACAATCTCATTACGTAAATTTTCAATTTCTGCTTGGAGTTGAGCAGAATCTGATGATTTGAGAGATTCATTTTCTTTGTTGAGTTGCTCTATTTGTTTTTTCAATGAATCTATCTCTGTTGTATCAACAACGACGTTTCCATTTTCTTTTAATTGTTCGATCTGCTTTTGTAGTTCGGAAATTTGTGCTTTGTAAGATATTTCACTTTCAGAATTTCTTTCTTCTTCGAGTTTTGTGATTCGATTTTGTAAAGTTTCAATGATTTTGTCAACTTCGGCGCCACCAGAAGCTGAAGAGATTAACTTTTTAATCTCCTCATTCTTAGAAGCAAGTTCTTCCTGTAATTGTCCGAGTTGAACTTCCATTTCAGCTTTCTTTTGATTTATATCATTAAATTCAGCCGACAATGTATTATTTTCTGCCTTCATAGACCTCATCTGGGTCTCAAGCTCTCTAATTCTGGCTGTCTTCTGCTTGAGGATAGCCCTCGCCTTCTTAGAATCGTCTCTTTCATCGTCACTCATTTTTTTGGAATCAATCATCTCAGGATTTTATCGAGTTTTTTGTACATGATCGCTATTATTTATATGTTACTGTAAAAAATTTGAATTCAGTATGTTTCTAAACATAAATTAGAAGATAAAATTCAGCTTTATGTGTCTTTTGGAATTGAACATGTGAAACTTAAATGGTTTTATCGGTCATTCTAACAAAATATCTTAGTCTGGTAAAGATTATTGAGAATAGCGTAAAAATATTAACCAAATACGAGGATTTGAGGGTAATATAAGTTATTAAACATTCTATAATAGCATAGTATAAGCAATTCCACAAATTTATCCTTCAAAATCATGTTATTCAAGAAAAATTTATTTTAAATTTTGATATAACTCATAATATTTCCAGAAAAAATAAATATTTATATAAAATTAATACAATTATCTGATGTTAAAATTCCAAAATTTTTTGATTTTCCAGAAAATGATAAGAAATTTGTTGTAATTCTAGAGAAATTTTGAAATTTGAAAAATTTTTGGAAAATAAAAGCACTATATTTTGTATTCATTAGAAGGGATATCGCTTAGTTACTTAAATTTAAGTCAATTCTTATCATCATTTTTATGCTTTATCATATATCATGAAGTTTTGACCTCTTTTTTAGCCATTAATCCAGCCCATTGATCTAGTAGGTGATATATTTTATTGTAAAAGAGATAAGAGTTAGATAGTTTTTAATCATTAATCAGATTAACCATAATTTCAATTCAAATTACCTTATTTGATTGAGAGAGATCAGTGATGCATGAATCAATATTAATACAATTAGATTTAAACAATCTATAACCTATATTGGAAATTGCCGATGGACTTTTTGATTCACAATTTTTCAAGAATGAAAAAAAGAAAGTTCAAACCTGAAAGAATCACATCATTGCCAAGATACTGGAGCGGGCCATTTCGATATTGAAAACGCTATTTCCATCTACACACAAAACTGACAAAAATCCCGCAATTTTTCAAAAGTCTTTAAAAAAAAATTCATGAAAATAAGTTAATTATACATATGGATACAATTTATTTTGAGAAGCTCCGAATTGAATGTTCGTTATTCTTCGATGTATCGCGCTCAACCTGTTGTTTCGCAGATACTCGACGTAGAAGATAAACGACGCATATACAAAATTCATAGGCAACATCTTGCGGAAGCACATCACTTAATTGATGTCAGCCATCCACCACCTGTTCCGAGAATTGAATTATACAAAAAAACACAAGCAAAATTTCGGGCTAATCAACTTGCAGTTAACGAAGAACAATCAAAACTTGCACGAGAATTATATGTAACTCAGAAAGAAAGGTCAGTTTCTGCAGCATCTACAAAATCTCGTTCATCAGTCACCAAAAATCCTGGCCATACTAACTGGGCTGATGATTTAGCTAAATGCGAAGAGAAAATTAGCTTCTTGCCATCTTACAAGAATCCAATTGGTCGTAAACAGGTTCCAGATGAGGAACCAATACCACAGGCTTCTTCTAATATTGTCAATGATGACGGCATGAAAGTTGATGACTACACTTCTCTTCAAAATTCTCAATCTCGCCCATTATCTAATATCTCAGCCAGAAGAGGACAGCCGAAGCCAAGCGTTATTGTTCCAAAGAAGACAGCAGGTCAACCGGCAAACTCACCAACCAGTCCTAAGCCAGCTTCACCAATTAGGACCAATAAACCACCACGCCCAATCAAGACATCATCTAAACCACCTACAACAACTAAACAAACAACTACAGTTACAAAGAAACCATCTACAGCCACTACGAAATCTCCACCATCGAAATTACCTCCAGCTAAGCCTAAATCTAAGCCAATCAGCCTTTCTGAAGCTATCAACGACCAGCTTGATAACAAGAAGAAGGAAGAAACCCCACGAAAGGAGGAAAATCCAAAGGAGGAATCATTTGATAATTCGTTTGACCATACAACAGAGAGCAACCACGACTCCTTTGATGACCATCCACAAAAGGAGGAAGAAAAGGCCCTCGATCTTACAAACGCTGTCAATGAAGCCCTTAAATCCGAAAATCCTCCAGAAGAGAAACATGAAGAGCCAAAGAGCGAGGACAATTTCGATGATTCATTCGAGAAATCACAAGAAGAAGCCAAACCAGAGGAAAAGAAAGAAACTCCAATTGATAAATTACTTGAACCGAAACAAGACGATAAATCTACTGACAACTTCGATGATTCCTTTGAGAAATCACACGAAGAAGAGAAACCAAAGGAAAAGTCAGAAGATTCATTCGATAAATCCGAAGAAACCGAGAAACCACAAGAAAAGGAACTTCCTAAAGGTCTTCTTAGCGATGCCATCGAGAAAGCCATCGAAGGACCTAAAGAAGAAGAGAAATCCAAGGATGATTTCGAAGATTCCTTTGAAAAATCACAAGAAGAAGAGAAACCAAAGGAAGATGACAAGCCATTCGATGGTCTTGTCAAAGCAATGGAAGAAGGCGCCAAGAAAGAAGAAAAACAATCAGAAGATTTCGATGATGAATTTGACAAAGAAGAAAAACCAGAAGAAAAGAAGGAAGAAGTTCCAAAAGGATTGTTATCAAATGCTGTACAAGAAGCTCTCGATGAACCAAAGAAGGAAGAGTCGAAAGATGACGCATTTGATGACGAATTCGATGACGAAAAGAAAGAAGAAGAAAAAGAAAAACCATTTGCAAATCTCGCAGACAAACTTGAAGAAGGCGCCAAACAAACAGAGCCTGAACAAAAAGAAGAAGAAAAATCCAAAGATTTCGATGACGAATTCGATGAAAAACCAGAAGAAGAAAAACCAAAGGAAGAAGAAGTTCCAAAAGGTTTGTTATCAAATGCTGTTCAAGATGCACTTGAAAAACCAAAGGAAGAAGAGAAATCTAAAGAAGATGCATTTGATGAAGAAAACTCTTTCGATAAAGAAGAAAAACCTAAAGAAGAAGAACCACAAACAGGTGGATTATTAACAAATCATATTAATAAAGCTTTGGATGAAGAGAAACCTAAAGAAGAAGATTCATTTGATGACTTCGATAAAGAAGAAGAAAAAGAAAAACCAAAGGAAGAAGAGAAACCATTCTCTGGATTGGCACAAGCACTTGAAGAAGGTGCAAAGAAAGATGATGAAGAAAAACCACAAGAAAAAGAAGAAGAATCTAAAGATGCTTTTGATGAAGAAAACTCATTTGACAAAGAAGAAAAAGAAGAAAAACCGAAAGAAGAAGAACCACAAACAGGTGGATTATTAACAAATGCAATCAATAAAGCATTAGATGAAGAGAAACCAAAAGAAGAAGATTCATTTGATGATTTCGATAAAGAAGAAAAACCAGAAAAACCATTTTCTGGTGTTGCACAAGCAATTGAAGAAGGTGCAAAGAAAGATGATGAAGAAGAAAAGCCAAAGGAAGAAGAGAAATCTAAAGATGCATTTGATGAAGATTCATTTGACAAAGAAGAAGAAAAAGAAGAGCCAAAGACAGGTGGTTTATTAAAGGATGCAATCGAAAAAGCTGTTGAAGAAAAACCAAAGGAGGAAGAAGCTCCTAAAGGTTTATTATCTAATGCAGTTAACGATGCATTAAATGAACAACCAAAAGAAGAAGAATTTAAAGATGCTTTTGATGAAGAAAACTCATTTGACAAAGAAGAAAAAGAAGAAAAACCGAAAGAAGAAGAACCACAAACAGGTGGATTATTATCAAATGCAATCAATAAAGCATTAGATGAAGAGAAACCAAAAGAAGATGAATCTTTTGATGATTTCGATAAAGAAGAAGAATCCAAACCATTTGGAGGACTTGCAAATGCATTACTTGAAGGTGCTCAGAATAATGAACCAGAACAAGAAGAAGAAGAAGAAAAGAAAGAAGAACCAAAAGAAGAAGAAAAATCAAGAGATGCATTTGATGACGAAGACTTTGATGATGAAAAGCCTAAAGAAGAAGAGAAGAAAGATGATCCTCCAGCTGGTTTATTATCAAATGCAATCAATAGAGCTTTGGATGAACCTAAAGAAGAGGAGAAATCCAAAGATGCTTTTGATGATGAAGATTTCGATAACGAAGAAAAGAAAGAAGTAGAAAAGCCAAAGGAGGAAGAAGCTAAACCATTCGGTGGACTTGCAAATGCATTATTGGAAGGAGCAAAGAATAATGAACCAGAAAAAGAAGAATCAAAGGAAGAAGAGAAGTCAAGAGATGCATTTGATGATGAAGACTTTGATGATGAAAAGAAGGAAGAAGAGAAACCAGCGGAAGAACCGAAGAAGGAAGAAAATGAACCACCAAAAGGACTCTTCTCTAACGCAATCAACAAAGCTTTAGATGAACCAAAGGAAGAAGAAAAATCAAAAGATGCTTTTGATGATGAAGATTTCGACACAGAAGAAAAGAAAGAAGAAGAACCAAAGAAAGAGGAAGAAGAAGCTAAACCATTTGGTGGACTTGCAAATGCTTTACTCGAAGGAGCAAAGAATAATGAGCCAGAGAAAGAAGAAGAAAAGAAAGAAGAATCAGAAACGAAGTCAAGAGATTTCGATGAATCATTTGATAAAGAAGAAGAGAAACCTCAAGAAGAAGAAAAGAAAGAAGAAAATGAACCACCAAAAGGACTCTTCTCCAACGCAATTTCAAAGGCTTTGGATGAACCTAAAGAAGAGGAGAAATCTAAAGATGCATTTGATGATGAAGATTTCGATAACGAAGAAAAGAAAGAAGAAGAAAAACCAGCTGAAGAAGAAAAGCCAAAGGAAGAAGAAGCTAAACCATTTGGAGGACTTGCAAATGCATTATTGGAAGGAGCAAAGAATAATGAACCAGAAAAAGAAGAAGAGAAATCAAAGGATGCATTTGATGATGATAACTTCGAAGATTTCGATAATGAAAAGAAGGAAGAAGAAAAGCCAAAAGAGGAAGAAGCTAAACCATTAGGAGGATTAGCTGCTGCATTACTTGAAGGAGCTAAAAACAATGAGCCAGAGCATGAAGAAGAAAAGAAAGAAGAATCAGAAACGAAGTCAAGAGATTTCGATGAATCATTTGATAAAGAAGAAGAGAAACCAAAGGAGGAAGAAGCTCCTAAAGGACTCTTCTCTAATGCATTAAAGAACCTCGCTCCTGAAGAACCTAAAGAAGAAGAGAAATCTAAGGATGCATTTGATGACGAAGACTTCGATAACGAAGAAAAGAAAGAAGAAGAAAAGCCAAAAGAGGAAGAAGCTAAACCATTTGGTGGATTAGCCGCTGCTTTACTTGAAGGAGCAAAGAACAACGAACCAGAGAAAGAAGAAGAACCAAAGGAAGAAGAGAAATCTAAAGAAAATGAATCATTTGAAGACTTTGACGATGAAAAGAAAGAAGAACCAAAGAAGGAAGAAGAAGAATCCAAACCATTTGGAGGACTTGCAAATGCATTACTTGAAGGTGCTCAGAATAATGAACCAGAACAAGAAGAAGAAAAGAAAGAAGAACCAAAAGAAGAAGAGAAATCAAGAGATGCATTTGATGACGAAGACTTTGATGATGAAAAGCCTAAGGAAGAAGAAACTAAACCATTTGGTGGATTAGCAAATGCTTTGTTAGAAGGCGCAAAGAATAATGAACCAGAGAAAGAAGAATCAGAAGTGAAATCAAGAGATTTCGATGAATCATTTGATAAAGAAGAAGAGAAGCCAAAGGAGGAAGAATCTCCTAAACCAGCTGAATCCAAACCACTTGGAGGATTGGCTGCAGCTCTTCTTGAAAACACAAAAGACAAAGAAGAAGAGAAATCAAAAGATGACGCTTTCGATGATGATTTCGACAAAGAAGAAGAAAAGAAACCTTTGGGAGGTTTAGGAGCAGCATTGATGTCTAATATCAAAGACAAAGAAGAGGAAGAACCAAAGAAACCAGCAGGACTCGCAGAACAATTACTAGGAACAACAAAGAAAGATGATGAAGAAGAAAGAAAGAATTTGGATGAAATGAAAGGTCCTGATTTCGAAGAATCAGATATAATGGGTGATCAAAAGAATAACTCTTCTTTCGTTGGAAATAATGATGACTGGGACATACAGTCACCAAATTTAGATTTGGGTGAACCAGATCCAGCTTACGAAAATGATATCGACATCAAAGATTGGGATAACTAATTAATTTAAGTTTTTTTTATTGTTTATATTTATTTTTTATTTTATTATTTAATCACAGTAAAAGTACCCAGATTTTCCTTACTTTTACCACTCCCCATGTAATTTCTGGGGAAAACGATAATTCATTTTTTTTATGGATGAATAGATCGTTTTCCTAGAAAGGACCTCATATCTCTGGCTAAAAAGAGCGTCAGATCCTAAATAGGTTATTGATCTAGTGTACAAATCCAATAAAAAGCCTATTTTTTTGGCTTTTTTGGTGCTCATTTTTTCGAAGATCTACATGAATATGGGGAAACCATCGGATTTTTTTGGTTAACCCACATCTTCATGTAGTCTGGACTATCTTTCCTCGAAGGACCTCTTTACGGGTGTAAAAACTCATAAAGTTCTCAAAAGATTCATTCTCGATCTCCATGCTGAAAGAATTTACAATAAAAAAGAGATCTACGCATCAAACTACAGCCATAAATGAACTGAACCCCTAAAGCTCAGCTCTTAGTTTATCAAAAACGTCGAAATCCTTCTCATTGCAATCAAATTTTCTCAATAACTCATAAGAAAAATCGAATTTTGATTAAGCCGATGTTATAGGTATCACAAATACTACAAACTTGAGCAATATCGAAATTGCCAGCAAAAGTTTGAAATTGCATTGCTCATATTTGTTTTGTAAACTAAAAATCTGCTTTTATTATTCATTAATTTTTTATATATTATTCATATACTTTAATAAAAACAATACTATTTCACCTTAAAAATGAATTTCATAAGTCAATATTATTTTTTTGAAAATGTATCAATTTTCGATTAAAACAACATGAGAATAAAATTTACGCAAAATTATTTTAAAAAATGGTTTTAAAAATTTACAATTGATGAAGAATAAGATTGCAAGAAGTTTTGAAGTTTAATTTTAAGAAAAAAATTCGGATATTATTCATGGATCTAAGTAATCTGATATTTGAGTATCGGCACTATGCATAAAACATATATTTATAGTTTTTTTGGAGTTTTATGATTTTAAATATATTCAAATTTGGCAATCCAATAGATTTTTAAAAAATAGGTAAATAAAAATAGATTACATATGCAGCAGATTTAGAACATGAAACAAATCTTATAGTGACCCAAAAAAAAATTCATGATCCAAAAAAGAAAAAAATTGGCTAAATGGGAATCAAACCTTGTCATAATGAACCATTATGTCAGATGTTTCCACTACACTACACCGGCAGTTCGAAAAATACCCTTGGTGGTTCTATTTAAGAGCTACTCCCAACGATAGGCGGTGTCCCCAGCTTTAGAGAGGTGGTAAAAGTAAGGAAAATCTGGGTAATAAATTTTTTAAAATTACAATTTTTTTTTCGCTTCCCAAATTTACTCATCAACTACAACACCCATTATGGATTTATTTACATTGAAATAGATTGGATTTTTAAATTCTCCTTTGAATTTAGTGTGATGGAACAATTACAATTTTTTGAATTGTCCTCTCAAATTTTCTCAGAAAAATAATCGATATTTTACACCTTTTCAATTTGAATTCTGGGTCGTATCGTTTTGAAGGGAAAGTCGAAAATTTTTGTAGAAAATATATTTTAATGAAACCAAGTGATAAAGATCATGCATCCCATGATTTATCATCAGATGATGAAGTCTCCAATTGTAAAGTAGATTTAGATCCTTCTCTTTCCATAATTGAAGAAGAAAAACCAAAAGCCGGAAATGAAACAAAGCCTGTTCAAGAAAAGCACTCACTAGAATTCATTCCATTAGATTCCCCAGATGATAAAAGTGATTCAAGTCAATTAAATGCAACATATGAATCTATCGATATTAATAAGATCTTTTCAAAAGGAGATACCACGTTTTTCCAAGATATTACCAACTCTCCTTCATTAAAGACAATTTTGATTTCAAAAACAGAAGATAAACTGAATATATTTAAATCAGTCGAAAATAAGAAAATTGAGTTTATTTTATCCGTATTCCAGTATTTCAGTGAACAAGATCAATACGAAATTTTCAAATATTCAATTCAAACATCTAATATCGAAGTTTTTGAAGCATTAATAGCAAATCCAATGAAAGACAAACAGAAAGATCATAATGGTAAGCCATTTATCCATTTCGCTTATGAAACCGGTTCATCAAATATTTTCGAGTTATTAGTTACGAAATACAACATGATAAACGTGAAAGACAAGAACAGTGAAACAATAATGTTCACTGCAATTCGTGATCACAACGTTGAAGGAATTAAATTTTTATTAAATCACGGAGGAAATATCACAAATATCAACAATCAGTTCAAAACACCATTTCAATATGCTGTAGAACTTAAAGAAAGTAAAATTGCTATACTAATAATTAATTCAGTAAATCTTGAAACGTTTAACAACGAATACATAAGGAATGCCATTGTAACATGCATTGAACAAAGGAAAATGGATATTATTAAGGCATTTCATGATGTCAATTTCAAATCATTGGCGTTTAGAGCTTTGAATTTTCCACTTCTTTGTCAGTTTTTGATTGAAAATGATGATAATAATGCGGAATTACTTATTGACCTGGCAATGACGATTGATACTCCTATGATGGATGGTACAACACCATTGATACTCGCAGCAAGTAAAGGAAAACTAGAGTTTTGCAAGAAATTAATTGATTTAAGAGTTGATTTAAATGTTGAAAACAAATATGGAAATGCTTATATCAATGCTATTGTTAATGAATTTAATGAACTTGCTTCTTTCTTGTATCCTTTCTATTCTGATAAGAAATCAGTTGCAAAGTTCCTTGTAACATGCGCAATCCAAAAAGATCTAACAAACTTTGGGAAATTCTTCAATGCCGAATCTTTTGGAAGAACAATTTCTACTAAATGCATGTATCCATTCAAAGAACAATTATGGTCTGAGTGGAGAAAATGCAAAGACAACAGATTCATTTGTGCATTGATAAGTAAATATGGATTCGAAAATGATAATGCAAATGAAGATGCAGAATTCAAGAAATATTCTGAAACTGAAATACAACAAATGAATGAAGTTCTTTATTTAAAGGATTACTCGGTTTTTTATCGATATGTAACAGAAAAACCAGTTTATTCTAATGATAAACCAATATCTGAACAAATTCCAAAATTTGAAGACGTAAATGAAGAAAATTCATCTACAGTATCTGATAATGGAGAAAGTTCACCTTTTATATTTGATGATGAAGAAAGTTCATCTTTTATATCTGATGATGAAGAAAAACCAAGACGTAGACATAGAAAACCATTATTTCTTGATAAATATCAGGATGAGAGCACAATGCCAGAAATATATCTCAATCATAAATGTTATGTAGCAATTAAAAAAGGAGATATTCCAAAGGCACTCGACTTAATTAAACTCGGTGCATATAAAAATACAAAAGATTTTGAAAAGGATGATATCTTTAAATATGCCGTGAAACACTTTGAATTACAAGATTTTTGTAAGATGCTTATTGATAATGGAATGACCCAAATTGTTTATAATTCAAGCAAAACATGTGTAATGCTTTGTGCAATTCATGATTGTTATGATCTTTTGGCTTATTTGATTAGTAAGAATTATGATGTTCATACAAAAGAAGAATCATCAAATAGAACAGCATTGCATTATGCGAGTATGCATGGATTTGGTAAAATCACTTCAACACTTTGTGATTTATCAGATACTATTGAAGAAAGAGATTTCAATGGAAACACACCATTATTTTTAGCAGTTCTAAATTCAAAGCTGGAATCATTGAAAGTTCTAATTGAAAAAAGTGCAAATGTTAATTGTAAAAATAACAAGAACTTGACTCCAATAATTGTTGCTGGATTAAATGGAAACATTGAAATGTGCCAATATCTGTATAACAATGGTGCATCTCTTAATGAATTGTATACTTTTATTAACGAAAATCCAGAAGTATATACTGCTAATGAATTGTTTAATTTTTCAAGGACTATTGAACAATTTAGTTTCAGTGAAATTTCAAGTTTAACACCATCTGTTCTACTTCAAATGTTTGAGAATGCAACTGATGATCATGCAAAAAAGTTCATTAGAGATAATGACAAAAATATTATGCATTATGCAATTAAATTGCAAAATCCTAAGTTGCTTCTAAAACTTTTGAAATTTGGAGCTGATCCTTTTATTACTGATGAAGATGGAAACAACGTTCTAATGAAAGCATGTCAATCTACCAAATTTAATGAGTTTATTCAAGAAGTTTTGAACAAAGATGATTCAAAGATTGATGATCAAAACAAGGAAGGAATGACAGCACTTCATTTTGCAACAATTAGCGGAAAGAGAGAAATTGTTGATTTATTACTTAAGCATAGTGCCAATGTTTCATTACTTGGAAAACATCAGTATACACCACTGATGTTTGCATGCGAAGCTGGTGATAAACAAATTGTTAAAATGCTTATTTTAAGGATGAGAAAGGAAGAAATCAACCTAACAAATGTGTATCATGAAACTGCTCTATTCTTAGCATGTTTGACAGATAACCCAATGATTGTAATACATCTGATAGAGAATGGTGCTGATGTTGAAATTGCAAATGAAAATGGCGTAACACCCTTTATGATTAGTTGCACATCATCAAGCAAATTCTTATATGGTTACTTGAGAAGAGTAGCTGATATTTATAGGAAGGATAATATGGGAAATACGGCATTAAATTATGCATCATATGGAAAAAATAAAAAAATTATTAAGAGTCTAAAGAAGAGGATTGGCTTTATGAATCATAAAGAAGTACTTCAACTCTCAAAACTTTATGGTTTTGAATTTGAGGATGCACGACGAGGATTACGGTTTTTTAATCCTCCTTTTCGAAAAAAAATTCTTTATACTTTCGAAATCTAATTTTTTTTTGACATTGAGCATGAGATAATACTATAAACCTGGCATCTGAATAAACTTACTGTTTAAAACATATATCTTTCATTTTTCAAATTTTAATCCAATTTTATTAAGTACTTCTTTTAAATATTCTTGCTGTTTTGATATTAACAATGATCATTACTTTAAAATGTGTTATTTTTTCTTAACATTTTTTATCAGCCAAAATTAAAATTATAAATTGAATCATAAAATATAGATGAAAAATGATTTTTTATGATTTAGGAGGATAAGACTTTTGATAAAACTCTCAGAAAAAATTGATAACTTTTAATCCTCGTAGTGCACCCTTAAGTGACTTAATGGAAAAAGTACGCGAATTTGATGATAAAACATAAAATGTTATAATTATAATATTTGGGTTTTCCTACAAGTGCAAAAAAAGGCGCAAAAACGATTATTTTAAATTCAATCTGTGCATTATATTTGTAATTAAAAATCAAAAGGTGTAAAGAAGTCAAAAATTAATTAATTTTTTCTTTTATATTTTTTTTGCATACGCAATTGTTGGAATTCTCTATTAATGTATTTTGAATAATGGCCAGCTCCAAAATTTTTCAGATACGTAAAAAAATATGCAAATTCAATTTCAAATAATAGTTTTTGCGCATTTTTTTGAACACCATGTACAACACTAATATTTCATGTTGTCGTAATGACTAAGCGTTTTAAAAATTTCTTTATATTCTGTTAATTAATGCATTTTCCTGAAAGATATTTACATGAAACAGATAAGAATTGTATGAAATAATAACTCTATCTATCAGTAATACTTTGATAAAATCTTTTAAATTAATTTATTCTTTATAGATAAATTATTTATTCTTTATCTCTTTTTGATTTAATTAAAGCAAGAATCTCAGGTGTTCCATATTTCTTTGCAATGTATATCATGTCACGATATGGAACCTCAACAGAAGGAGAATTATAGTGAGTGCAGATATATTGAAGACGAGCTTGATATTCCTCGTCAATAACAATACAGCAATCTAAATCAGCACCATGAGACAAAAGTAACTTGACCATTTCCACATTATGATGCTTGATTGCAATTGATAGAGGAAAATCAGCTTGCATGATTTCATCATTGGAAATAAAAAAGAATTTCATCTATATCAACATTACCCCATTCATATCCAATTCCAATGTTTGGACTGAAATCTAAATCAAGCAAGAACTTCGCCATTTCCAAATTATCAGTCTGTGCAGCAGTTAAAACAGGGTTTGGACGTGTATCCCAAAAACTCTCGTAATCTCTCAATTTAAATGGACCAATAGTATCAACAAATTGCTTGAACAAATCTGCATCAAAATGTTCGTATAATTTATTGTAGAGTTCAAGTTTATCGTAGTCACTAATATGCTTTTGTTCAGCTAATTTTTAAAGATTCTTGAAATCCCTCAATTCGCAGAATTTGTCAAAGTAATCAGTAATACTGAATTTATAAATATCAGTCGTCCAAATATAATCAATGAAATGACTATAGCCTTTAGCAATAAGTAAACAAAGCTCATTCCTTGTTTCTAACTTATTTTGCAAGCAAAACCAATATCCTTTGAAATTGAAATAAAATAAGCATGCCTGGCCATCAATCGGTTCGCAGGTATACTTTTGCATTAAGTAATCTGCAACTTCATGATTATGGCCTGCAATTGCGCATTCTAAACAATTATTAAAATTGACCCCTTTTTCTTCAAGAATTTTAATAATTTCCATTTTTCCACCAATTGCGGCGCATCTATTTAAGTCTTTGGGAATTGAATAACCATTATCAAGAAAGAAATTAAGACAATTTACATTTCCATCGAGACAACATGCTTCAAGAAGCCTTTCATTCTTTAAATTCGAGTTTGTAAGTATATCTTTAGATACTTCTATCTTGTCCCCTCGTAACATCTCTCGAATTTTCGTTGAAGGAATCTCACTTTCAAAAAGAGTGCTGAAATTATTGTTATATTCAGGCTCCTTTATTGTTGAAAGAAGCTTTTCAAGGTTGTCATATTTATGATCGTCATCTTCCAGGTAAGTGTAATAACCAAGAACGTTATACATGTAATAGATGAGATCTTCATCGATAGTGATGATATCTTTGAGTTTATTGAAGGTTTCATCAATGTTTTCTGGTGTTTGATTGCGTATTATATCATCAATATCCTGAAAAATTTGTAATTGATCTAGTAATTTCAATTCAACAATACTCTTGTATTGTAAATCCTGTTTGAGAACACCTTTATTCGATCTCTTCTTTCTTAAAACAGGCTTTGGGTCTGATCCATATCGCATTTTTCAAAAATGACTATATTTTTGTTTAATAATCAAAAACTATCTAAAAATTTCAAACATAAATCAAATTTTAGTATAGCTAACCTTAAAATTGGCCTCGTATTCTTTTGAAATTTAAATAAAGGAAAAATCACTATAAAATCAATATTACCATATTGAAAATCTTATATACACTTATTTTGCAATCAAAATATAAGAAAAATGCATGATTTATAAATTTTGAATAATTTTTATTGTAATGAGAATGTGTATTCATGTATATATATTAAAGTTTTATCTCAAATATATTTCACAGTTGTATACTAAATAAGATCATGTATTTACATTCTTTAATGACATTTCATTTTCATTATTTTCATATTGTGAAGAAAATGTTACAACATTACTAGGTGGGGCAACATATAATGATTGGGTTGTGCTTTGCTGAAGCGCAGGATCAACAGCTTGATTTTGATATGGTGATGTAAATGGTACATCTTTCAGCCAAGATTGATCCATATTTGGTGTATCATATGACATAATTAATGGCGAATTTAATGCAGACACATCATTTTCTATTCTAAATGTGGATTCTGCGGCAACTCTATCATCCTGATTATATTTACAGCGATATTTTCCTTCAGTTCCTGAAATTCGTTTAATGAGTCTAAGATGCATTCTCTCACCAGATGATGCCCAACGGGATTCATAAGCTAATTGATATCCTATCATAGTGAAAAAGATCCAAAGAAAGCGACCAATACAGCTTTGATAGAATTTAGTTTCGCAAGGTTCATCGTGACAAACATATCCAGTAATGCTATGCTTGATGTTCGGTGTTTGAATTTTGCGACTGGTAGAAGCTTTAATATCATGCCTTAATGCTTCATTGTACATCTTTTTATCAAAATTATGAAGTAATTCTTTACCTGACTCGTCTAAATGATATCTCACTGTACAAACGGCATGAACAACATCTGTTTCTTTAATACGGATTGAATTCGAATCTTCTTGCCAAGATCTATATTGAAATCGCTGAGAATTTCGCCATGTAACTACTGTATCGGTATATGTTCTAATTTCTGTGTGAGTAGACCCATCAGAATCGGTAACTGTCTCATATTCTGTTCTGGTTTCTTCATGATATGCTTTTGCACTAACAATTATCACAGGAGGAATAGCCCTATTTCCACACATCTGTTTCATAAAATCCTGGCGTGGAATCCTTTCATTAAAAATTTTCCCAACGGCAAAATGACAACCATCAAACCATGTGTTGCAACAACAATAATCAAATGGTAAAACTAAGAAGAATATTCCTACTGCAAGACATATGTAGGATGCGTATTGAAGCATTTCATCACCAGTAACATGCGATGTAAGCAATCCAAAGCCGATATTTAATATTAAACTGTTGAGAAAAACAAATGGTGAAGCTGGTATTTTTTTGCGGCAGAGTGGGATCATTTCAGCAATAATATTAGGGATCATAAGGGCACCTGCAACATAGAAAGGCCAACTCATTTCTGATCAGAACAGAAAATGAAATGTTTGAATTTTTGTTGTCAAAAACTTTGAAAAAATTGAGAGTATCAGATCAGGATTTAAACGATTTATTTATGATAAAGACTCGCTAAGGCTTCTATTCTTCCTAGAGCTTGAACGTTATAAATTAGCAGTTAGATCCGTATTATTCATTAATTATTCTTATCAGATTGTATTAATTTAAATTACGATGTTTTGTTTGGTGTGATTTTGCGGTTTTTATTTTTTTTTTTGAATACAACATTGTAATGAGCCCTCTTAAAACAAGGTATTCTGATCACATAACAATTCCAAATATTTGATAATGCGAATACAAATAGGTGCTATTATATGCAAGATTGCCAGAAATAATGTTTTTTTTTTAAATTTCATTTTTTAAGTAAGAATGCTTTTCATTTACATTCCATTGTTATTATTTCCAAAGGCAAGATATTTAATAGATGAATGATAAAATCATGATTTGATATTATGAATTTTTTAAATATCAAACAAATGATAATACAAGCATAAGAATAAAATACTAGTATTTGACACGTTAAGTTTGTGAGTAAGGCGTATTGAGGGAAAATTTGCCATTATTCAATTCAATTCATTTCCTTCGTATGACGTTAGATTGATTCTTTAGCCTTTGTCGTTACATGTAGGATGTTTAATGACATTTTTCCAGATACACAATATTTGGCCTGATTTCCAACTGTTTCCCAAGCGACATCCTTAAATTGTGCAACCAAAAGTAGAATAGCAATGGTGTGCAATAAGAAATTAAGGGAAATGCATGATTTATAGGAATTTTGATTAAATTTTTGAGATTTTTTGAAATTTGTTAGTATGATTTGGGTTTATTTCTCAGATGGATTCTTTTAAACTAATCGAAATGCACTTACAAAATTTTGTAATCGAAAATTTTGAGGGTTATTACACCACAAAGAAATAAAGATTTTTTTTTTGAAAAAAATGCAAAGTATTCAAGATGCATTCAATCAAAAGGAGAATTATCCTGAATTATTGCTTATTGTTGCAGTAGAGGATGCAACAACTGATGCAGACACGTTTTGGAATTCAGTTCCAGTAAAATCAACCTTACCAACAAATTCTATCGTACACAGAATCAAAATTCCCGAAGATTTCAACGATTTTCAGTATTTTGCACAAAAATTCCAGATAATGAGCACTCCTGCAATCTATGTTTTCGGATCTCATTCTTCGATCATCTCATATCAATGGGTCGGTCACTATCCTAAGCCAGAAGAGTTTGCCTCGTATATTGGAAGCTTAAATTACGGTGCATTTGAGAAAGAAGACGAAAATATTACAGAAGTTACAGATACACCAGCTAAACCAATTAAAATATCATTAAGAACAGATAATGGACTCATAACTCAGCAATTTGATCAGCCTGATACACTTAAAACCCTATTTGCATGGCTCGATGAAACATTCGGACCAAATCACACATATACAGTCATTCTTTCACAGAAATTAATACCACGTGACTATAATATGCTTATTACAGACGTTGTTGGCAAGGCAACAGCAGTTTTACTTAAGATTAATGAACCAACTCAATTAACACAAGGAATGACACAACCAACAGTTCATCATCATGAAGGAGGATGTTGCCATAGTATCTCATCCAAAATTTTCATGGTTTTATCATTTATTAATCCGTTTGCAAGCGAAGGCGAACAAGAATCATTTTGGGAATACCAGCCATCTAATAATCCCGATATCGCACAAGTTCTTGTACAAAACATTATGGGATAACTCTTTTTTTATTTGTTTTTTTAATAAAATATTATTTTGACTTTTTTAAAGACTTCTTTTCATTACCATCATTTCAGTTACAAACTGGCTTGACTTATTTGCGATAAGGAATTTGATTTTGCTTTAATTTTATAAATTTATTTCTCAAAACTTTTTTTGCTCAAAAGGAAATATATTATACATATGATGATATTTATTTTTAAATAAGAAATGAGTTCTGTATGTTTACATTTTTTTTTCTGTCAAATCCGTTGATATATTTCGATGTACAGAGCTCCGCCTGAAGTCAGCCGAATTTGTGTCCGCAAAGCTCGAGATAGAGCTTATCAAAAACATCTGAATGCTCTTAAGAATGTTAAACCATCAATTGACACGAGACAACCAATTACTCCAAATTCAATCGGCAAAAATTTCAAAAGATACGAAATTGAAAAGCAACACAACCTTGCAATCCAAAATCAAAATGTAAGACTTGTCCATAGACTTGATAAAATTCTTCGTGAAGAACATTACTGTGCCCAGCCACCAGGACGCCCTCACACACTTCAAGGACGCTTCCAGAAAGAACAGATGCTCCGTATAACTGAAGAAAACGCAAAAATTGTCAAAGCAATACAACAATCTCGTCCATTACTCAACAGAAATGATTGGTACATGCATAGACTTGATCATGAGTATCAACTCCACAAGAATGCCGAATATAAACAAACACTTCCAATGTCAGAGATTATCCAAATTGATGAACAGGAACAATCGGCTCGCCGCCAATCGTACAAGAAGGATGATGACTTCGCCAACATCTACCCACCAAAACCACCGTCAACAGCTCGCCCAGAATACAGACCAAGCAGAAATTCAGTTCAGAACGAAGAACAGTACGAAGTTCACGAACCACCACCAAGGCCAACAACAGATGATAAGAGATATGACGTTGAAGATAGCGAAAATCAACTTTCTCTTCATAATCAAATTGAAGATCATCTTAAGGACGATTTCGGACCAGAGAAGCAACAAAACGATGACCAAGACTTCAGTCTTTCAATCAAACACGAAATTGAAGAAGAAGCAATCAAAGTTGATGATTCATTGGATATCCAAAACGAAAATGAAACAAAGGACACAAATATGTCACTTTCCATTAAAGGCGAACTCAAAGATAACATAAATGAAGAGAATCTCGAAGCAAATGGAAAAGATGATACAAAAGACGAAAGTTTGTCCATTAAACCACAAATTCAGGATCAGAACCTCGAAGCAAATGGTGTTGATGATACACCAGAAGCAAATCATGAAGAAAATAACAATTCTGAACCAAAAGATCAAAATGTTGGCGGTTTATCGATCAAACCAAGCTTAGATAATGATAAACTTGAAGCCAATGGTGTTGATGATACAAAGGACGAAAGTTTTTCATTAAAACTTCCAATTAATTCAGGAAATCTCGAAGCAAACGGAGTTGATGACACACCAGAGGAACCAAAGCAAGATCAAAAGCCATCAGAGCTCCAGCTTGGAGAAAAAGCTCTTTCTGGAGCTGTTGACAATTTGAATAAAGAAGAAGAACAAAAAGAAGATTCTCCAAAGCTTGGTTTGGCTGGATTGGTTAATTCAACTGTCAATGATGGACTTGAGGAGAAGAAGGAAGCAGAGAATGCTCCTGTTCCTTCTCTTTCTGATGCTTTGTTGCATTAAATGATTATTGTTGTTTTTGTTTTACGAAATAAAACTATTTATTTAATTCACTTGTTCTACATGAAAATTTATGATTAAAACTTTTAATATTATAAGATTTTTACATTATAAGTAGAAATAATTAAGTGAAAATGATAAATAATGAATAAAATCATGTCATACATAAGAGTAATATATTATGCAATGATGCATAATCTACATAATTGCATTTAATTTATTAAATTTTGAAATTTTTCCACTAATTTCTTTAAGATATATCAAAAATACAGATAAAATTAAACTTACGCATATTCAAAAAGGAATTAAACAAATCATATACATTTATTCAACAAAATAAAAAATAAAAATTACATAAATTTGGTATTTTGATCAATAGCAAGTAATTTTTCTTCAACTTCACCAAGATAACTAACAAATTGTGGAGCACCTGTCCCAACAACGAAAATTGAACCGTTATTTTCAGATGATGCCTTCATTTCACGTAAAGCTTTAATTTGATTACGTAACATTTGATTTTCACTCTTCAGAGCCGCAATTTCAGCTTGAATAGCATTTTCGTGATTATCTGGAAAAGATGCTTCATCAGAAAGATCTTCTGGGGATACTTCGTCGATAAATGGCTTAGGAATAGATTGTGAAGGAATTGATTGCTTAGAAAGAGGATGTAGTGCTTGATTTAATTTAAGTAAATCAGATTGCGAAATTTGGTTTCCATTAAGATTAATTTCCATTATTCCACCATTAGGGACCGACTTTCTTTGTACAAAATTAATGGCTTCTGGGATAATTTGTCCAGAGATATTTGAATTTTCAATTGTAATGAGTTCTATTTTATTTGGATCTAAGAATTTAAATAAAGACTCTGCTCCTGCATCATCTAAATTGCAATCGCAAATTATAATACGTTTTAATGATTTTGAACGAGAAAATGAGCCCGCCATTCTTGAAAGATATTCTCCTGCTATTAATAAATGAGAAAATTGAAGTTCTGTGATCTTTGGGCTCTTTGGAACGCAGTAGCAAAGTAATTCAACCATATTTCGAATGTAACTCTTTTTATTTTTAGCGATTGAATGCATAATATCTGTTGGAAGATGAGCATTAGCTCCTGCGTAATTTGAGATAGCGTCGCAAGAAAATCCAAGTACATCAACGTTATTTAAACAAAACTTTTGCAAAGTCCTGAATAAAGTTTCATAGCGATCAGATGGTATTAAGGAAAAGTCAAAAATATAATCATTGTTGCTCCCTTGTGATAATTGGCGAAGAGCGTCAGCAGAGAGCATGATTTTTTTATTCTTGTCGTTTAACTTTTTTTTATACTTTATATTTATCTATACCATTATCAATATCTAAAGAGACCTTCACATGCTAAGAAATTTCTCCAAATTATATTAATATTTTTGAAATTTTTCAAATAAATAATAAAATTCATGTTTGATATCTCATGAATCACGCATTTGAGAAGAAAGCATAGATCAAAGGACTTGTTTACAAAGTCTAATTCAAAGAATTTAATCAAAAATTTGAATTATCTCAAGTTTTCGAACACAGAACTATACAACCTATTCATATGTATTACATTATATCTATGTGTAGATAGAATACGTTTCAAGTGCTGATTTCCAGACAAAAGATCAATGATAGAACTAAAATTTTCCTAAAATAAGCTAGTTTAACACATGATATGAAAATATCTTTATTATTAATTCATAAAAAATAAACAGAGCTCGCAAAATTTCAAAAACGTATTTTTTCATAACTTAGGATGTCATCAATAAAAGCAGATACTCAAAAAGATCAAGATTTAACAGTACAGGATGATGAATCCTTAGCTATAAAAGATGAAGCATTTAGTCCTATTCTTAATAATAGCACTTTTGGCGATGTAGATTCAGATAATGCCAAAATGGAGCCTATGTCTGAAAATGAAAAGAAAATTCCGATGTCAGAACATGTTTTACTAACATCTTTAGATTCAGCAATTCCAAATTCGAGTACAAAATTAAAAACCAAAGAAAATGAATCGAAAATACCAATAGCAGAGGAAAGTATTGAATTCAAGAACTCACAAACAATACTCCCTCCAGTTATATTAACAAATTCACCCGAACCTACCGATAATGAAATAATCAAAGAAACAAACGAAAATAAAGATGATGCATCTCCAGAAAAAGATGAAATGTTACAAATTGATCTTAAATCCGAGCTTGCTGAAATGAATGACAAGAAAAACAAATCAGAAGATTCAGAAGACAAGAATTCAAAGAAAAATCCATTACTTGTTGCAGCATTAGAACCGAAGAAGCCAAAGATACCATCATTTTGCGAAAATATACATGAATACACCCATAAAACTGCAGATCTTGATGCAGCACTCAAAAATACAATTAAAAAGAAAACAGCACCAGATATATCAATATGTCAAGATCTCCTGTTTTATGCTCGTGAAGAAAATACAAAAGCAATTGATGCTGAAGAATACGATTACGCTTCTCAAATAGATGAAGCTATTAAACTCATTGTTAAAACACTTAATGAAGATCGTGCTCAATATGATAATTCTCATGAAAAACAACAAATTAAATATCGTTTGGAACAAGTACAGAGCAGAGAGTCACAGATTACAGAAGAATATCATCAGAAGCTAGACAATCATAAACAAGAAGTCGAAAGAAGACAAAAGGCTCTTGAATTAGAACATCAGCGTCAAATCGAAGATTTTCAAGCTCTATGGGGTAGCCCAGATACAATGCAACAATTCTCTAAGCCAAGTTCACATCTTTTACAGTTAAAGAGGCAGCAACGTCAACTTGCTCTTGCTCATGATTTTGATCAAGCAAAACATCTTAAATCTATAGCCGATGAGCTCGAAAAGCAAGAAACAGAAGCCGCTAGAGCACGAGCAGTTGAAGCAATGAAAGTTGCTTACAGTAATTTGCTTGAAAAACAAGAAAGGGAGAAAGAGTGCTTGATAAAGAACGGAGAAAGAAAGGAACAACTCCTTGAATCAGAGTATCAAAAGGAGCTATCGTCGAACGAGAAAACAAAGAAATCTCTTCAAACTAGATATGCAAGTTCTCCTAAGAATCCTAAGGTCACGATTCCATTCGTAGAGCATAGAGGACACTCAACGCGTCGTCCTATGAGTTCAGCATCAAAAGTACAGGAAGGACCTCGTCTTGATGTTAAGATCGATTTTAAATCGATTACAAAGATGAAGACTCCAAGACCCCTTCCTAAATAAATTGTATTTTCTGTTTGTATTATTATTAAAAATGTTATTTTTGATATTTCATACTCTTGTTTACCGTTGATTGCTATATACCTGATAGCAGCATAGTGATGGAGTTTATCAGGCCAATCAAAAAACACTACAGGTTAAAGAAGACACATTCAATCTTCATTTGATAAATTTTACTTACCAAAATTTATTTATATCATGATTATAAGGAGTTCCATCAAATACAGCTCATTTCAGTTGAGGATTTGTCATCAGGGAAATCAACAAACAACAAAATTATGTTGCTCGTTTTCAATCTTTTACGAAATACATCCAAAAATTCAATCGGTTGAGAAGATTCAACGGAATCATTTTTAGACCATTACGATTAAAACGATGAAAAGGCGACTCACTGATAATGGGAAACGATGCCTAATAGCATAAGCATTATAGATTTTCCAAAAAACTATCAAAATATTCTGAAATTTTACATTAGCCGAGCAAAATTTTTCTTGAATGAAGACAATTCGTTGCGTTATCTGCGATGTTGATGGACTTCTTATTGACTCTGAAGGCATCTTCGCAAAGGCTATCAAGCACTACAGTGGCCATGAGCTTACACAAGATCTTCATCTTGCTATCATGGGAACAACAGGCCCAACTTGCGGCAAAATTTTGATGAAAGGCTTCGGTCTCGAAGGAGATCCAATTGAATGGATGCAGAAATTCGATATTGTTCTCAACGGATTTTTGAAAGAATCAGACCTCATGCCAGGAGCTAGGCAATTAGTTAAAAAATTCCATGAAATGCGTGTACCAATCGGTATTGCTACAGGCAGCAACAGATGCAACCTTGAAGCCAAATGCACAAAGAATATGGATCTTCTTGATATGCTCGATACATCTACATGCGGTAATGAAGTTACACACGGCAAACCAAACCCAGAAATCTTCCTTACAACAATGAAGAAACTCGGAATTGATGATCCAACACAAGTTCTTGTCTTCGAAGATGCTCCAACCGGTGTTAAGGCTGCTATCTCAGCAGGAATGCAATGCATCATGGTTCCAGATAAATCCCTTCCTTATCAGAAACTTTTAGATGATTACGGTGTTAAACCAACACTTATGTTGGATTCTCTTGAACAATTTGATTTCTCGATGTACAAGTTCATTAATAAGGATGGAAATGTCGCTTAAAATATTAGCAAAGTAGACCTTATTATATTTGGATGCGAATAGAGATAAAGGGTATTATATATTATTATTGAATTATTACTTTTTTGATCTTATAATACTAAAACATGTTGAAATGGCCTTATTACGATATTAGGACACTGACAACAAAAATTTCCAATTAATAAATTGTCTGGAAGCTTGTTTTCAAGCACTATTTTACTAGCACTTACCATTAGAGATGATTTATTATATTTAAAACACTGAACACACATTTTATTTCGATTGCCGAAATTATTCAATAATTATTCGCAGTAATCATCATGCTTTTATTAAATTGCTTCATATATAGTTTAAATTTCTTTTACGACCAATCATTATTTACAATTTTGCCCATTTATTTTTGAAATTTATTTTCTCATTTGTAGTCGTAATGCATTTACTGAATACCAAAATGGATAATTAAGGGTATTTTCATTTCGATAAGAGGATATCAAGTACTAATAAAAAATAATTTATTATAATAACTAAAAACATGTTTATCATGGTATTAAAAAAACATACTAATAAAGTCATATAATTTGGGGAGGTGGTGTTGTTTGTCTCATTGCATTATGCAATTGAACGGTTTGAGGTGTAAAATTATGGGCAAGTTTTGCCACAGGTGTTGATGTCTTAATTCTATATGTTCTCACCGGGACTTTTGGTTGAACTCGAACAACATTAGGTGTTGAAATTAATTGGCGAATCATTTGCTGAGAAGCTTCCTTAAATGTAGAGTCATACATAAATTCATAAGAAGAGTGTATTTGCTGACGTAATTCATCAATTGACTCATGGAATCCGCTGACATTATATGAGTTCAGGAGATTCAATAATTGCGCGAGTTTAAACTTGATGAGGGATGTAGCATAAGGACCCCTCATATAATGGACAATTACTAAAATGAATTTTTTCGTTTGCTCTGAATGGAAAGTATTTGAAGCTTCTTTGATTTTGGATATGTTAGATAAATGCCAACCACCAGTGTTAAATTTCATTTCGTCGTCCAATGCATTAATAGCATCTTGGAGCGAATAGTGTATTGGATTGTTCATTGAGTTATGAATTTCAAAATATACAATTTGAGAAGACTGTTGTTTTAAATTAAATTTTGATATGTGTTATATATATAATAATATTATTAAAATCCGCCGAAGGAGTTTTGATAGTCCAGAAAATTTTGTGATCTTAATTTTAGGGAATTGGGCATTTATAATGAAAGTAATGAATCTTCTTCGTTTCGAGATCGTTGGATTCTCAAAATTTTTGTTATGACATTTCAAAAGGAATTATTCAATTCAGAATTGTATCACAACATTTTAATATTAATGAAATAAAATATTTAAACGATCATATTTGGATATTATAATAAAATATTGAATTTTGAAAGAAATGATTTATTAAGTAAATTGATTTAGAGAATGAAGAATGACAATTCATTATAAAATATATTCATAGATTTGAATTTTATTTTTGTGAGAATTTAAACGTTGATAACTTGGATAAATTTTCGCATATACAGCCTATCATATTTGAATAATTTACATCCGGCCACATATTAATATTCAATTAAAATCATTTTGAATGTAACTCGTTAATTAATTTTTGAACTATTTTTATAATATTTTAACAAGGATATCAATACAATTAAAAATATTTCAATCAATCTCAACGTAAAATCGGAGAAAACGAAATTCCCAAATGCTGTCACCACTTCCCTATGCATCTATGCATTTTAAATTTTTATTAATTTTAATTATCTTACCAACAATTACTTTCGTTCATAATTAATCACGTCTAAATTAATTTTTTTGCTCATTTTATTCAACTATGCCTAATGCCTAATCTAAATCATTACTGAATTTGAATTTCAGATCTTTATCTTTTTTTTTACAAATCTCTTTTCTATTCAATTCTTATTAATGTTTTATTATTCTTTAACTAGTATAATTTTTAACTAAAATTTAATTTTCACTCGTAAAAATTTTAATCATCCCAAAGTTTTTATGATACAGTTTTCCCAAATTATAATTTTGAGATATTCATGATTACAACATAATGCCTAATGATTTCCTATCAAATTTTCGTTAATACTTTCAATTCTAAAACCTACTTTCGCTCTCAAATTTTTGTTGTCAAGAAACCCAATTTATTTCAAATTGACATCATTTTAATTCCATTATGACATTTCTTTTTGACAAGTCTGAAGAAATTACTTGATTCATTTTCGAGCTTCTCATATTTAGGATCAAATATTTCATATTTTTATTAGCCATTTATCATATCTAGCTAATAAAACATAAATTACTACCACAGGAGAATAGCGATGATCCATTCGCATTTTTATTATCTGATTAACATAACTGCACTCTTCATTAATCGCTATATTTGTAAAAAGAATCTGAGTACAATGAAAAATTCAACAAATTAAGGGTGCACACAAGAGGATCATGTAAACTTCAGAATTTAGAACCTTATTTTTAGGCATTATCTTGGCTACCTATTTAGGCTCGAAAAGCAAAAAATATCAAAAAATACAACTTGACTCCATTATGACCCTTTCATGGAGGTAGTTTTTATCCGCTAGTATTTTCCCTTTGAATCTCTTTACAATTCGAAATCAAATTCAAAACTCAGTAGAAGAAAGGAAGAATCGACTTACTACGGTTGTAATACGAATAAATACATATCTTTAATTATTTTTATTTACATAATAATTGTTTGAAGCTCATATTCCGTCAAATTTTTAAATAAAAACATTAAAATGTTGAAAATGTTCATATATTTTAATAGGGTTTTGGCACTTTATTGAGGAATTACTACATACATAGTCGAACTGAACTTGATGGGCGCGTAAAGGGTTGGCGTCCTAAGGCGTCCTGATGTAAACTATTCAATATTTGAGAAGTTTACACCATAATTGAATAGTTTATGGCGTCCTGAGAGGAGATTTCAATGGGTATGGCGTCCTAAAAATAGAAGAAAATGATTTTTTCTCGATTTTTCTAGAAATTGAATTTTTTTTTAAAAAAATCAAAACGTATACATTCAAGAAAGACTATAAATGAAGATTTTTCTATTTTTTTTTCATTCTAAAACATCTTTTTTTGGATAATTTTTTTTTTAATAAATATGTAAGAAAGATTGAAGAAAAAGTAAATTTACTTTAAGAAAATTCGTTTTACATGATGTAAGACCCATAACAACTATAAATATTCAATTATTTAAAATAAAAAAAGAAAAACAGATTAAATGTATCTCACATCAAAATCCATTGACCTAAGGATGTTAAGTTTCTGTTTTTAAAAGTTGATATTTTTTTTTTAATTTTAAGAAAATTAATAGCATGTTATTAGACAATAGGAGTGTAATGATATTGACTAAACAGAAATGAGAGAATAGAGATATAATTTTGATAAGCAATATTGCGAACAAATTCTGAAGTAAAATCGCGATCAATAATTGAAAATTACGACCATGTACTGAAAAATGACGATCGAATTGAATGAATAGAATTATATCTAAGAAAAAATAAATTGTATTTAGAAGATGAACAAAGAAAGGTGTATACTAAAAATCATTTAACAATAAATGGAAATAAAACGAAATTGTTAAAAGAAAAAAATGAAAATTGTTAAATAATATATTATTTTTAGTCATAAGAATAAAAATATAGTAGTTATAAAAGGAATTAGACTTCATATATCAATTCTTTTTCTCTGTAGATGTGGAACGTTTGCTTTTCGATCTCTTTCGATGAACTTGAAAATATAAGTTATTATCGCTGAGAATCCTTTCCGAAATAGGAGCTTTACGTTTAGGAGGATTGTCGGATGAATTTTGTTTTTTATTGTTTGATTTTGTTGTTATGGAAGATTTTTTCTTATTTTTTCAGAATTTTGCTTGCTATTAACTGAAACTTGTTTTGACGGCCCAACAATAGCATTTGTAGTAGGAAGAATTCCCAATAACGAGCGCATTTTCGATAATTGTTTTTCAATATGATCAAGAAGGTCCAGCTTATGTTCTAGATTACTAGACATTTGATTTGTAGAAGGATGGTTTTGATTTTCTGGTTCTAAATCTGTAGAGTCTGCAATATTTGAATTTTCGGAGCGAATTGGAGCATCTGAACCTTGATTTGTATCGGCTTGCTCAAAATTAGTTTGAATTGGAGTGGGTGAATTAAAATCTGGATGATTTAATGTAGTTAGTATACAATTCATCAGTACGGTGGCACTGCGTTCCACCATACTCATGATATGTCAATCTGACACTTTACAAAACCACTAACGTATATTTTACATCGCAGATGCAATATTTCTAATAACCTTAAACTGTTCTGTCACGTAAAGTATTTATCACATAAACCACCTCATCTCACCTCTCTGTACATTATATATTGTGCGCAGGTCATTGCCCATGGCAACTCCCCGCGACACAATACACGTGCATGAAAAAAATAAACGTTCTCACTAACGTTCTCACTAACGTTCTCACTAACGTACACACTAACGTTTTCACTAACGTTCTCACTAATGTTCTCACTAACGTACACACTAACGTTCTCACTAACGACTTCACTAACGTTCTCACTAACGTTCTCATAAATTTTCCTCAATATCTTCATCATCAGTGTTAACCCTATTGTAGTCATACTTGAAGCCATAAACTTTCTCTAACTTCTTAACGTACAATTTACATAACTTACCTTCGTCATCGTATGGTTTAATGATATAACTATTTCTATCTTTATACACAGTCAATGAAAAGTCAACTGGTCTCGGATGTATTTGAAAGAACATGTTATGCTCAGGAAGGAAGAATAAATGTTTAAATGTATGTTTGTTATACTGTGGAATTCGAATGAGTTGCTTTTGTTCTGTCATTACATCCAAATAAAAATTTTCAGTAAAAATAAAACTAACGAAATATTTTATTCCTCACTGTCGTCTGCTTTCTTCAACTCTTATAACTTCTTCTTAAGTTCAGCAATGTTGTCCTCATGAAGTTTAATCTTTCTCAAAATTCCTTCTTTATCTAATGGTTGCTTTATCTTTCTAAACTGAACTCTACCATCTTTCATAGTATGAATGTAAAAACCTTCTGGAATAGTTCCTGATTTAATGTATTCTACCAAAAACTTTTGCTTCATTGCTTCAGTGACTTTAGTCGTCATTTTACTCTAAGGTGAAGCTAGCACAGCGATAATGGATTTCATGACTTTTAGTATTTCATGCAATCTTAACAGATAGCCTTACAAGTACTTCCAGTGTCCCTAGCTGTCCCTCCTTTTTATATAACTCCATGACATTTATAATCTCGCGAAACTTAACAGGTAGCATAACAGATTAAAATCAGATGAGGTTTTGAACCAAAATTTCTAAGCAACGTTGTCAAGGATTTTGAGGAACTAGGGACAGAGTGTGGCAAAGTCCATGATTTAATTTATCTTCATCTGTTTCATCAGCTATCTCATCTAATATGCCAATATTTTATTCAGAGTATATAAGAATTTCCGAAAAAGTGACACCCAAAAAGTGACACTTTCAATAGGGAGTAACACTTAAAAAGTGACAATTTAAAATTCACAATAAATAAAAATAATAAATTTTTTAGTCTATTAAATTATTCTTTTCTTTGAAATCCTCTAAAAATTCTTCGAAATGTTCTAAAATATAATCTGGAGAATTATAACAAAATTCATTAATTTCTAACATATACGTATCTAACAATTCATTTGGAATTTCAAACGATCTTAAATATGTAATTGAATTTTGTATCTTCTCATTTATTTGAGAAAGTTTTTCTTCAGCATTTTCCAATAAAAATCTTAATGGATTCAAATTGGCTTCTTGATTCTGAACAAAATTTAATACTTGGTATAAACGTGATTGAACTTCTCTTTTCAATTTTGTTTTATAATCTGTCAATCGAGGCTCGCGAATTCTAATTGAAGGAATAAAACCTGTTTGAAGTAAATCGTTTTTAATACGATAAAAGTAATTGGGTGCAACTTCTTCTAAAAGATTTTTGACAAAAACATCAATTCTTT